AGACTTCATTATCAGTGGAGAATAGCCTCGGGTTGAATCCGTGTTCTGTAGCCTCCAAAATCGAAAGAAAATCGCATTTCGGGAAAATCGCCCGAAATCTGTGATGGTACCCCTTTGGGATCTGCCAAAAATTGACCCGGAAGAAATCCCCCCAAATCGGTGCTTAATGGACTTAATCATCGTTGAAGAATCGCCTCAGGCCGAATCCGTGATCTGTAGCCTTCAAAATCCAAGGAAAATGGCCTTTCGAAAATAAATCGCCCAAATAATTACGAAAATGCCATCCCAAATTTAATTGGCCAAATTCGGTGCTTAATTGACTTAATCATCGGTGGAGAATAGGATCAATAGACTTCATTATCAGTGGAGAATAGCCTCGGGTTGAATCCGTGTTCTGTAGCCTCCAAAATCGAAAGAAAATCGCATTTCGGGAAAATCGCCCGAAATCTGTGATGGTACCCCTTTGGGATCTGCCAAAAATTGACCCGGAAGAAATCCCCCCAAATCGGTGCTTAATGGACTTAATCATCGTTGAAGAATCGCCTCAGGCCGAATCCGTGATCTGTAGCCTTCAAAATCCAAGGAAAATGGCCTTTCGAAAATAAATCGCCCAAATAATTACGAAAATGCCATCCCAAATTTAATTGGCCAAATTCGGTGCTTAATTGACTTAATCATCGGTGGAGAATAGGATCAATAGACTTCATTATCAGTGGAGAATAGCCTCGGGTTGAATCCGTGTTCTGTAGCCTCCAAAATCGAAAGAAAATCGCATTTCGGGAAAATCGCCCGAAATCTGTGATGGTACCCCTTTGGGATCTGCCAAAAATTGACCCGGAAGAAATCCCCCCAAATCGGTGCTTAATGGACTTAATCATCGTTGAAGAATCGCCTCAGGCCGAATCCGTGATCTGTAGCCTTCAAAATCCAAGGAAAATGGCCTTTCGAAAATAAATCGCCCAAATAATTACGAAAATGCCATCCCAAATTTAATTGGCCAAATTCGGTGCTTAATTGACTTAATCATCGGTGGAGAATAGGATCAATAGACTTCATTATCAGTGGAGAATAGCCTCGGGTTGAATCCGTGTTCTGTAGCCTCCAAAATCGAAAGAAAATCGCATTTCGGGAAAATCGCCCGAAATCTGTGATGGTACCCCTTTGGGATCTGCCAAAAATTGACCCGGAAGAAATCCCCCCAAATCGGTGCTTAATGGACTTAATCATCGTTGAAGAATCGCCTCAGGCCGAATCCGTGATCTGTAGCCTTCAAAATCCAAGGAAAATGGCCTTTCGAAAATAAATCGCCCAAATAATTACGAAAATGCCATCCCAAATTTAATTGGCCAAATTCGGTGCTTAATTGACTTAATCATCGGTGGAGAATAGGATCAATAGACTTCATTATCAGTGGAGAATAGCCTCGGGTTGAATCCGTGTTCTGTAGCCTCCAAAATCGAAAGAAAATCGCATTTCGGGAAAATCGCCCGAAATCTGTGATGGTACCCCTTTGGGATCTGCCAAAAATTGACCCGGAAGAAATCCCCCCAAATCGGTGCTTAATGGACTTAATCATCGTTGAAGAATCGCCTCAGGCCGAATCCGTGATCTGTAGCCTTCAAAATCCAAGGAAAATGGCCTTTCGAAAATAAATCGCCCAAATAATTACGAAAATGCCATCCCAAATTTAATTGGCCAAATTCGGTGCTTAATTGACTTAATCATCGGTGGAGAATAGGATCAATAGACTTCATTATCAGTGGAGAATAGCCTCGGGTTGAATCCGTGTTCTGTAGCCTCCAAAATCGAAAGAAAATCGCATTTCGGGAAAATCGCCCGAAATCTGTGATGGTACCCCTTTGGGATCTGCCAAAAATTGACCCGGAAGAAATCCCCCCAAATCGGTGCTTAATGGACTTAATCATCGTTGAAGAATCGCCTCAGGCCGAATCCGTGATCTGTAGCCTTCAAAATCCAAGGAAAATGGCCTTTCGAAAATAAATCGCCCAAATAATTACGAAAATGCCATCCCAAATTTAATTGGCCAAATTCGGTGCTTAATTGACTTAATCATCGGTGGAGAATAGGATCAATAGACTTCATTATCAGTGGAGAATAGCCTCGGGTTGAATCCGTGTTCTGTAGCCTCCAAAATCGAAAGAAAATCGCATTTCGGGAAAATCGCCCGAAATCTGTGATGGTACCCCTTTGGGATCTGCCAAAAATTGACCCGGAAGAAATCCCCCCAAATCGGTGCTTAATGGACTTAATCATCGTTGAAGAATCGCCTCAGGCCGAATCCGTGATCTGTAGCCTTCAAAATCCAAGGAAAATGGCCTTTCGAAAATAAATCGCCCAAATAATTACGAAAATGCCATCCCAAATTTAATTGGCCAAATTCGGTGCTTAATTGACTTAATCATCGGTGGAGAATAGGATCAATAGACTTCATTATCAGTGGAGAATAGCCTCGGGTTGAATCCGTGTTCTGTAGCCTCCAAAATCGAAAGAAAATCGCATTTCGGGAAAATCGCCCGAAATCTGTGATGGTACCCCTTTGGGATCTGCCAAAAATTGACCCGGAAGAAATCCCCCCAAATCGGTGCTTAATGGACTTAATCATCGTTGAAGAATCGCCTCAGGCCGAATCCGTGATCTGTAGCCTTCAAAATCCAAGGAAAATGGCCTTTCGAAAATAAATCGCCCAAATAATTACGAAAATGCCATCCCAAATTTAATTGGCCAAATTCGGTGCTTAATTGACTTAATCATCGGTGGAGAATAGGATCAATAGACTTCATTATCAGTGGAGAATAGCCTCGGGTTGAATCCGTGTTCTGTAGCCTCCAAAATCGAAAGAAAATCGCATTTCGGGAAAATCGCCCGAAATCTGTGATGGTACCCCTTTGGGATCTGCCAAAAATTGACCCGGAAGAAATCCCCCCAAATCGGTGCTTAATGGACTTAATCATCGTTGAAGAATCGCCTCAGGCCGAATCCGTGATCTGTAGCCTTCAAAATCCAAGGAAAATGGCCTTTCGAAAATAAATCGCCCAAATAATTACGAAAATGCCATCCCAAATTTAATTGGCCAAATTCGGTGCTTAATTGACTTAATCATCGGTGGAGAATAGGATCAATAGACTTCATTATCAGTGGAGAATAGCCTCGGGTTGAATCTGTGTTCTGTAGCCTCCAAAATCGAAAGAAAATCGCATTTCGGGAAAATCGCCCGAAATCTGTGATGGTACCCCTTTGGGATCTGCCAAAAATTGACCCGGAAGAAATCCCCCCAAATCGGTGCTTAATGGACTTAATCATCGTTGAAGAATCGCCTCAGGCCGAATCCGTGATCTGTAGCCTTCAAAATCCAAGGAAAATGGCCTTTCGAAAATAAATCGCCCAAATAATTACGAAAATGCCATCCCAAATTTAATTGGCCAAATTCGGTGCTTAATTGACTTAATCATCGGTGGAGAATAGGATCAATAGACTTCATTATCAGTGGAGAATAGCCTCGGGTTGAATCCGTGTTCTGTAGCCTCCAAAATCGAAAGAAAATCGCATTTCGGGAAAATCGCCCGAAATCTGTGATGGTACCCCTTTGGGATCTGCCAAAAATTGACCCGGAAGAAATCCCCCCAAATCGGTGCTTAATGGACTTAATCATCGTTGAAGAATCGCCTCAGGCCGAATCCGTGATCTGTAGCCTTCAAAATCCAAGGAAAATGGCCTTTCGAAAATAAATCGCCCAAATAATTACGAAAATGCCATCCCAAATTTAATTGGCCAAATTCGGTGCTTAATTGACTTAATCATCGGTGGAGAATAGGATCAATAGACTTCATTATCAGTGGAGAATAGCCTCGGGTTGAATCCGTGTTCTGTAGCCTCCAAAATCGAAAGAAAATCGCATTTCGGGAAAATCGCCCGAAATCTGTGATGGTACCCCTTTGGGATCTGCCAAAAATTGACCCGGAAGAAATCCCCCCAAATCGGTGCTTAATGGACTTAATCATCGTTGAAGAATCGCCTCAGGCCGAATCCGTGATCTGTAGCCTTCAAAATCCAAGGAAAATGGCCTTTCGAAAATAAATCGCCCAAATAATTACGAAAATGCCATCCCAAATTTAATTGGCCAAATTCGGTGCTTAATTGACTTAATCATCGGTGGAGAATAGGATCAATAGACTTCATTATCAGTGGAGAATAGCCTCGGGTTGAATCCGTGTTCTGTAGCCTCCAAAATCGAAAGAAAATCGCATTTCGGGAAAATCGCCCGAAATCTGTGATGGTACCCCTTTGGGATCTGCCAAAAATTGACCCGGAAGAAATCCCCCCAAATCGGTGCTTAATGGACTTAATCATCGTTGAAGAATCGCCTCAGGCCGAATCCGTGATCTGTAGCCTTCAAAATCCAAGGAAAATGGCCTTTCGAAAATAAATCGCCCAAATAATTACGAAAATGCCATCCCAAATTTAATTGGCCAAATTCGGTGCTTAATTGACTTAATCATCGGTGGAGAATAGGATCAATAGACTTCATTATCAGTGGAGAATAGCCTCGGGTTGAATCTGTGTTCTGTAGCCTCCAAAATCGAAAGAAAATCGCATTTCGGGAAAATCGCCCGAAATCTGTGATGGTACCCCTTTGGGATCTGCCAAAAATTGACCCGGAAGAAATCCCCCCAAATCGGTGCTTAATGGACTTAATCATCGTTGAAGAATCGCCTCAGGCCGAATCTGTGATTTGTAGCCTTTAAAATCCAAGGAAAATGACATTTCCATCTAACCCAAAATTTTACTTACTTTTAATTATCTTTTGGTACCCAAAGTTCCCATACATTCTATTTTGGTAGGTTGGGTTTTTGTCAAAATCCACCCTTTCCACGTAACCCACACCTAATTGGGCTGTCGCAAAGTGGACCGGGCCCTCCCACGACCGATACACGGGCACAGCGAGCTATATATCACTCCTCGCCTATAAAACCCTTGCTAGGGTTCCTCCTTCCTCCTGGAAAAAAAAGTGACGATGGTCTCTCTCTCTCCGTGAAGTTCTTAATTTTTCCTGTCCCTTTTAATTTGCTTTTTTTTTTCTTCTTGGGCTATTGGGTCAGGATTTGTTCTGTATTGTGTGTTTATATTTAGTAGTAATGTTGCACAGATTACAGACCACGCAGAACAGAGGAATGTTGTTGATACATTCGAAATCATCCAACAGCGGCTCCAAGCAAAGTTTCAAGAGTACGGGGCGAAGTGTCGCGACGTTCAGGCGATGTACGATGAGGTTTCGGCGAAGCTCGTCGGCTTGGGATTTCAGAAAGAGCTTTCCGAATGCGATCGCGAGGACAAGGAGAGGGCTGGCCGGTTGAACGACGAGCTACAACGGATTTCCTTGGAGATCGGTGCCCTCCGTGCTAAGGAGGCCGAGTCCGATGCGATTCGCCGTGAATTCGAGGAGTTGATGAAGCTGAGGGAGGCCGCGATTCTGAGTCGAGTGGAAGATGCTTCTATTAGTAATGATCTCAGCCACCTAGCAATATAGAGATCAGTGAAATGCTGATGTTGATTGATTGTCAAGAAGAACTTTATGCAGAATTTGAAAGACGTGAACTGGAATAAGACGGAAATAATTTTAAGTACAATTAGATTAAAAATCCCCTAATCTTTCTGATGTGAAGAAGAAGAAGAAGAGAGTATATGTTTGTTTTGGTGTTGTAGACCACAACCCTAAAATGATTCATTATATACTGGATTCTCTCAAAGCTATAATAAAATTCTAGATGAATAAATTCTGATTTTCACCCATTTTTTTATATAATAATTGTGCCAAAAAAAAAATGTTGCAAGGAAAAGCAGAAAAATTGTTCAAGAACAAAGTCCGTACAATTCAATTGACTTGAGTTGTGAAAGTAGGGCTGGCTATTTGGTCCCGGACTGTTTGATTTTACCCGAAACCGGACAGTATAACCGGGACCGGACTGGGACCGGATAGCAAACAATCCAATCTACATAGAAGCATTTTTTTTTATTGTATTAGTAAGGTTTAAAACGTGATTCTGACTACATTGATTGCAAGCAGATAGACATCTCCGACTCGGGACTTGAAAACATGCCGGGTCGTCGATCCTCGTGGCAGAAGAAACAGATGATCCAAGCTATCGAACAGCAGATCGCAGCAAAGTGGCTGGAGCATCGAGTGAAGTCCGAGGAGATCAAGGACGAGTATGCCGCCAAGTTTAACGAGCTCTGGCTGAAAAGTGAGGGCGACCCTAGGGTTGATCGCCAGCACATGTCCATCCTGGAGCGGCTTCCTCAGGAGGGTGCTGATCTATTGCGTGAAGTTGTAGCTAGGCTTGACGCCTTGAACGATGCCATCGGCGGTGAACTGAATGAGCTGTGGAAACTCAAGTATGCAATTCAGTTCCAGAAAGAACCTGGACTACCCGATCCTGCTGCTGCTGCTGCTGCTTCTGTTACCAATAATCTCAGCCGCCTAACCATCTGACTTGAGTGCATGGATCTGGAGAGATGATAGGTTTAAAGATTTGGCATCGTTATACTATTTGGATTCATTATTGGCTGATTATGATCATATTGCTACTTGTTTCGTCCAGTTGCATGGCCACTACTTTCTCTGTTTCATCTGAGGATCTAATTTGCATGGAGTTTTGAAACCTTCCGATTAATGCTTCTAGCTCTGAGTAATCTTTCCATGAATGACGTGAATACATAACATAGTCTTACGGTATATCAAGGTGAAATTGTGGGTACCGTATGTTTTTAGCAAATCGTTACACTATTTGGATCATGAATTAACAAAAATTGGTATATTATACTATGCTATAAACTCATGAATTAACAAAAATTGGTATATTATACTATGTTCTGAACTCGATTGACCAAACCCAGACACAATCTAATTGTTGAACCCTATTTTGTATGTTATATCTTATATCAATTAATCAGAATCATCGATAATTTTTTGTTTATAACAAAAACGATAGCTTGTATAATATATACAAGAATAAGAATAGTTACATCATCATACCCGCCTCCCGAGAGAGCCAAGTACATAAATCAAACCCGGAACAACGATCGGGAAACAAAGAAAGGGCCTTCTTAGCCACCAAATGGGCTACCCTATTGCTATCCCTCCTAACAAAACGAAACCGAAGATTGGGGTACATCACTCGCAGCAAGCGAATCTCCTCCAAAATGATCCCTCCCCTAACATCCGCGACCATCCCAGCATTAACTTTATCAAACCACCACCTTTGCATCCCCTTGAAACATGACGGCATCTCTGCATCGATAATGTTTATTAACGAATTTAATCTTATTTAGAGAATTAAGATCTTGTGTTTTGTCACATGAATTCCAGAATAGCGTATCATATTCCAAAACAATCTTTCTAAAAGCAGGACATAACCCAAAATTGATAGGAGTACACCATACAATAAGCTACGTACATAGATAATGCATGCGTACGATTAATCCGAATTACTTCAGGATTGGGAAATCCCGAAGTGGGCCGGCCCATCACACGATCCACCGACACATCTCCTCTATAAATACAAACCTACCCCGAAAACTAGGACCGGACAAATACCAAGGATTGAAGTTTAGTACTTAAATATCGCCTACAAGTTTTACTTTTGGAGTAAAAAAACGGTTAGGTTTTTCATCATGCAGATGGACGTCGACTCCAACTCGGAACCAGAAACCACGTCGGATCCTTCCTTGTTGCAGAAGCAACAGATCATGGAAGTCCTCAGGCAGCAACTTGCAGCAAAGTATCAAGAGCTCAAAGTGAAGCTTGTAGAGGTGAATGACGAGTATGCTGAGAAGTTCAACGAGCTACTACTCTCCGCGAAACGTCTTGCTGCAGAACAAACATCGCTGCACGACGTCGACCCTAGGGTTCACGATCAGCTGCAGCAGCAGGTTGGTCGGGAGTTTGATGATCTCTACCGTGCCATGCAAGCTAGGTTTCGGGCCGTGTCGGATTTGGTCTACGGCGAAATCCATGCAATCCACGAAGCAGCAGCTGGTGCTAAGATTGCCCGGTCGGAAGTAGCTCGTGTTGATACCGAGGAGTTTTGGAAAATGTTCGATATTGTGATTATGAACCATTCGGTTATCAGTGATCTCAGCCAGCTAACAATTTGAGACACTCGATCGTGGTTCAATTGCAAAGCATGTGCTTTCTTTTTCACGTCTTCCCTACCATTTTTTATGATGTTTAGGAGGTAATCTATGTAGATGTTGGACTTGGATTGATGATGATTCGATAACTGGATGTTGATGAGTGACGATTTTTTGTGCGATCTTGAGGTTTGTTGGTTTGGCTTAGCAACGAACTCGTTTCATCTGTGAAAAAAATTGAAATCCAAGTTAAAACAATTGATGATAATAATTTAAAAACTTCGAGAGGTTGGGCAAATAAATTCTTCTTACCCTAAAAATTATAACACATAAATGATATTCTATGAGATATGACATGGGTGAACAAAGAAAAAATTATATTTATATTAAACAAAGAAAAAATGAGATATTATTAAACAAAGAAAAAATGAGGTATTATAATACTATATTGAATAGATTTCATACTAGACCTATGAGATATGACATGGGTAACAATAAAAAATAAAAGATATGAGGTTGATAGATCCATTCCACTTCAGGGTTGGATTACTTTGTCCCATGCTGACCCGGAGTATCGATCCTTCTCCATAAATACCTAGCTAGCTATCGGAAAAAGAACAACCAAAAATCCCTAAGGAAGAGATCGAACATTACTTTCCTTGTGGCACAAGAAACAGACGCGCGATGGAGATTATCAGGCAGCAGGTTGAAGCAAAGTATCAAGAGCTCCGAACGAAACTTCACGAGGTGTTTGATGAAGAGTTCGCCGAGAAGTATCGCACGATCGCCCTGAAACGTTTTCTCCTCGAGTGGGCTGCGAAACAAGTTCAACTACCGGACGCTACCATTAGGGTTCATGATGATGATCATGATCAGCTGGCCATTCAGCAGCAGCGGCTTGTTCAGGAGGGTGCTAATCTCGATCGTGCCTTCGCTGCTAGGTTTGCCCCTGTGTCGGACGCCATCTTCGGCGAAATCGACGCGATTCTGAACCGAGCAGGTAATCAGGCTAAGGCTGCCCATTCAGAGGTAATTCAAGCACAAGTGAGAGAGCTGCAGATACAGATGGATGTGATCCGGAACCAAGTAGCTGCTGCTTCCAATGCCAATGGACTCAGCCACCTAACGATCTGATGTTTGATTAAAACTCGGATGAATGATTTGGTCAGTGTATTTTTGGTTTCGAATCGTGCTCTCATACCATCTTGTTGTAACCAGATAGCTCGTTAGTATGCTATTGTTGTATGTTGATGAGTCAATATCGCTAAAGATTATATCGTGATATCGTCCCTATACAACCATGGTTTACATATGTTATTGATATTAGACTTTGATGGTTGAGGAATTGGGCTGTGAAGATGAGACATTCCGATCGTATATTAAATTGATTACATATGGTAAAATTTATAGAATTTTTTTTTTCTTCTCGTGTTGGTGAGTAGTAGGAATAAATTGAATGATCTTACAGCGTCGTTTTATGAATCTTACGGGAAGGACAGCGAAGTGGAAACGGCCCGCTGACCCACTCCTCAGGGTTAACCGCCCGGGTCTGCCGGGTCACACCGGGTTTGACCAAATCCGAGTGGATACTTTAGTGGGCTAATATGGCCCATTTTTGTGGCCGGGTTCGGGTCAAATCAGGTTGATCCGCGAGTCGACCTGCGGATTGACAACCTTGCTGCTTAAGGAACTGATGATTAATTACAATTTGGTGTCATTTACAATTGTGTCCTTCTTGGACCTAACTATGCACGTTTTGACACAATTGACAGAGCTTTCCCGCCCAATATATTCGGGTTGTCCCTTTCACCCCAGTGACCGTGGGCTGTGGCGCTTAAGGTGGGCCGAAATACTTCGATTATTGGGCCTAGCTTGTTTCATAAACTTTCGCTGGCCCAACAATAACGCAGAGGCCTTGCTGTATCGATACTTGGCGCCCAAGCTATCGGTTCCTTGCTAGCTACACATCAACCGTTCTACCTGTTCTGAATTGATCGAACCGATTCCCTTCAGGACTGGGGTTACGTTGCCCATTCGGAAGCAGTTCGAGCTGAGCTCAGAGAGTTGCGCAAACTGATGACTGCGATTTGGCACGAAAAAGCTGTTGCTTCGATTACTAATGATCTCAACCACCTGGCAATCTGACATGCATTCATGGATCTAGCTACAGAGAGAGAGAGGAATGAGTGAATGGATGCTACTGTATATATATGCTATAGTCACACACATGCTTATTCTTTTCATATGATTTTAAAGTATTTGAATACAAGAAGATGATTGTAGAAAATCATGGAGTGGTAGAACCTTGCATTTGATGCCACACCAGAACCAGAACCAGAACCACGTTTTGTCTACTGTGATAAGAAAGCCTAACTGATTTGAACGATATAACATGGCTTCTAAAACTTAAAACATCACTTAAAAAGGGCTTAAATCTGGTCCATAATGTTTCTATCCTAGAGTTAGTTCTCTAGATTCAATTCTGTTCTGTATATATTCCAGTTCCGCCACCACCATCAGCCAATAACTATCATCACTTCACAAACCCTTACAAAAAAATCCCCCCTTCCCTCCCCGTTGTATCCAAAATTGTGCTCAACCCTTCATTTAAGCATTATTCTCTCTATCAAATTCACTACCAATACTATTCTCTCTCTGCCTCCATGTACCCCTTTTTTTATCATCACCATTTCACCATGTACAACAAGATCACACATCCAACTCAAACTTCTGTACCTTTCTGAATCTTCTCACCCAGCCAGGATCCGACTATCCAGTTTGAGTCTGCATCTGCGAGTTCACCTCGAACTGATGCTTCGCATCCTGGATCGCCTTCTCGACCTCTTTATACATGTTCACCGACAACTCTGCAAACTTGCTGAGCTGGCCGATGAACCCCTCCAAGCTCGACCTGAATCGCTCAGAACCGCGAGGACCGCCATTATCATCATCTGCTGCCACGTCATCGCTCCTGTTATCGTTGTCGCCCTTCCACGATGGTGGCAACTCGGTTGTTGTGGCCATCTTCTTCCCTTGCTTCCTGTCCTGGTGAGGTATGAACCGGCTTGTCTCGGTGGTCAGACCTTTTATCGAGTCGGCCACCTCTCTGGCTGGTAAAGACTCGAGCTTGTCGAGCCATACCCCACACGTGGCGTAGATTGGCGCCCCAAAGTGTCTCAGTGTGGAGGAAGGGTTTGGGGCTCGCTTCGTACGCCGGGAGGTTTTCTCTGGAAGCACCACGCAGGTGAATAACCAGTCATTGATGGACTTGAGGTAGGATTTTTGGGAATTCATCCACTTTGTGAATGTAGATGACAGTGAGCCGAGCTCGGATTCGAGGTGGAGAGTGATCTGACGGCGAGATTCCGACTGCAGGGAGATTTTGGCATTCGTGTTTGCTATGGTGATGATTGTGTACTGCAGTTTGTGGCATTCGAACATCACTTCCCACATTCGGCTTAGCCTGCAAACAAAAACGATTCAACATGACAAGCCGAAGATGGAAAATAAGACATGGACGGCATTCAATACCATGTACAGATGATATACTACAGCAATCTAAAGCCAGAACAATAGTTCTCAAGATGGATATTAAATCTGATACATACCCCTCAATCAACTCCTCGAGTTGCGGCTGAAGCTCTTTGTCACGTAATTCCTCAATCCTCATTGATATGGAATCGATTCTTTGAATCGCAACCCTGATTCTCGAATGTAGATCCTTAACATTGGCACGGGTTTTATCGATTCTATACGAACTTTCATTTTTCGATTCCAGCTGTCTTAAGAACCTGCATTTAGCGTCATATTCCCTCCTGACCATTTCGCTGGCCTGAAATGTGGATTACAAAAATTTAATTTCTATAATTTCTTTAACACTTCCACCAAGTGATATAGACAGACATAAATAGAACGAATGAGAACCGCCATACCTTTACTTCATCATAAAGTTTTCTCTCCCAAGCATGCAGTCTATCCAACGTTGAAGCATGACTGCCAGAGATCATACAGAAATTCTCAAAGAGATTACCAGCGAGATCCTCTGCATCATCTTTAGCATTCATTCCGAGAAGATTTCTAGATGATGATGATCGCGAAGAAGTTGTCCTATGCCAAGTCAGGTACTTCACAGCATCTTGGACGGGTTCTAAAGAAGCCATCAGGAACAAGTTAGCGAGTAACAATGGAAACCATTCAAAAAAAGAATCAAACTACTTCAATACGAAGATTATATAAGCCGCATTATATAAGTTGATGAGGCAGTAGCACTTTTCTTCTAAAGAGAAGTCAACCACCAATGGCAACTGTCAAATCATAAGGTCGCTTCTTTGCCATTAAGATCCCAATACCATCTACATAACACAGCGCAGAAAAATGATTTACAGCAAAAATAAGAAGGCTAACCTTCTGGCACATGTGTAGGATCATCCCCACAAGAAAAACACGCCTTCAGAAAAGTGGAAGCCACTGACCCATCTGTGTCAATGCAGAGTATTGTTAGTTAAGAGGCTTTCAACGCTGAATCCAAGAAATGAAACTCAACTAGTTTTTAAAGATCATAATATCTCTCACTTCATCTAAACATAAACAAAGAGACAGAGAATGGAAACCATACTATCTTTTGTTCCAGCTACGGGACGAAAGTGAAATTTATTTGCTTCGAGCATCCTTGGAACTTCTTTCCCAGACTCGGAAGCCTTTATAAACAGATACTCGATATCTCTCATGCTCGAAAAGAAGTCCTTAGGAGTAACCTTGTTCTCATTCTGATCTTCTTTCACAGGTGTTTTCTTTTTCTCGGCTGAAGCAGCAACAGTTGAGGAAGGAGTTCTTAGCGGCGATAAATAAGGCGAGTTACTCTTCTCCCCATTCAACAACCCCCCTTCGGAAGCTACACTTCGTGCAGAAGGCACGGTAGGCGAAGCACTGACATGATCATGCACCATGTTGACATTCTGATAACTCCGCACAAGTCTCTCTGGGGGAGGAGGGTCATCATCAAATCCATCTTCAGAGTCGTCATATCCATCATCAGTCCCAAGAAATGAACCCTTATCTTCTTCCTCATCTTCCAGCTCAGGAATCCCCTCCTCCTCCCTATGCCGTGCCATGTCATCACCATGCTCATAGCCATGACTATTTCCATTTTCCTTCCCATCTTGGAAAGAGAACTCATTGTCAATTGGATGAAAAAGCTGAAAGTAATCCCATTGTGGAGTTCCAGGCGTAGCAGATGGAGGAGGTTCAAAGGGTGGTATTGCTTCTGGCTTTTCGGCGGACTGTGGTGGTGGTGTATCCTGTAGGGTGCTTGATGAGGTCACTGTGGCTGTAACGGCAACAGGAGGCTTCTCTTCGACCTTTCTAGAAGGGAAGCCTTTGAACTTCATATGGTGAACCTGAAACCTACGAGAGCTAGGGGGAGTAGGGGATCTAGAGAGGTTTTCATTTGTTCCATCCCCAGGATGGGATAGAGATGGTGGAGAGAGGGAGAAGTGTGAGTAGGACTTCTCGGTTACAACGTGTGGCTCCGGCGTTGCACTAGTGGAGGTGTAGAGTGATGATTCAGTTGGAAGAAGGTCTGGTTCTACAAATCTTCTTAATGCGATTCCTGTAGTTTTTAGGGACTGAATGTATGCAATATGAGCAGCAGCAAGGGAGCATCTACCATCAAGTGCTTGCCTGACGAACTTCTTTCTTGCGCGGCAAAGCTGTAGAGCTTTGTCTTCTTCTACTTTAGAGTTTGAAGCCCCCATTTCCCTGATGCCCAAACAATCAGCTCATACGTTTTCCTGCAAACCCAAAAAGAACATTCCCATGAATGAAACAATATAAAAATGGCTAGCCAAACAAGAATGAGAACATCTAATATCAAAAGATCAATCACCGCAGGCAGAGAATACTCTATAGATTACATTTCCCCCTGGACTATAAAAAAAGCTAGCTCATTTCATTCCAATACACTCCACTAATGCCCTTGTACATCAGAAATTCCTTCCAAATGATTCCATCATCATTGAGTTTTGTTGAATGCAGACATAATTTGACAACCCAGATCAAACAAGACTTGAGAAAGAAGTTATGAGTAAAATAACACAATCCTAAGATTTGAAGCAAGGCTAATGGAACACATTATGGAAGAGAAATGATGTTGAACAAGAGAAGCTTCTACCAAACAAGTTTGACAGAGCTCAATTCTACCTTTCTCGAGCTGTCAAGACTGAAACGTGCAAGTTCGTCCATGAACAAGCTCTTCCTTGACAAGGTGAGAGAATTAAAAAACCCTTGAACGTTGACCTTAATTCTTAAATTACGTACAAACTGAGCTCTAAAGTCAAGTTCTTTGAACCAAAAAGCAAGAAAGCCAAGTTCACTTCGGCTGTACTCAGAAACTAGAAAGTTGCTAACTTTCACAAACCAAAGACTAGACGAGGGAAAACCAGAACCAGCAGCTGCCCAGAGAAGAAAAGGAAATATTCATACTTCAATTCCTTATAGGGATTATTAAACCGCAGTCCATAGACAGCGAGAAGCCTAAAATCTCAGATTTTCCCGTGAAAAAGGAAACCTCTGCTTCAAAAGCGATGTCCAGAAGAATCACAAAACGCCCCAAATCATTCACTACCCAATCCGGAATCACCAACCACCAAGTGAGACAAATCAAACCCCAGTCACAATTTCACACTGAAAGTTGATGAGAAATTCACACACACCAAGCGCGAGAGCAATCTAACCAAAAAGAAGAATCAGAAGAGAGAGCAAACAGCAGAACAGAAACTCTTTTCTCCTTTCTGTGACAGCTCACCTGAGAAATTGGAGGCAGGGGAAAAGCAAATCATCCAATTCCGAGACCGACCCAGTTGGGATATTAGAGCAAGGAGACAAGAAGCACCGATCCCTCCCTTGACTTGGGTCCTGATTGAAATTCGAGAAAGGAATGAACTTCGGGAAGAAGAAAGCCGGCAGAGAATGAAAGCGAGAGAGAAGGAGACAGATGGACTAAGAATCAAGTGTGGTTTCGTGAGCAGTCAAAGTGATAATAAATTAGTATTCCTGATAACAATAAATGGGAATGGAAAAATGCCAATGAGACGATGATGAAGAGAAGACGGAGAGAGAGATGGTGGTGGGAAAATTTGTTCGTTTTAGGGAATCTGCTGTGCATCCAGTTCCATGCAAGAAAAGGCAAAAGAAAAGTTTATTTTGGGAGGGAAAAGGCATAGTGGATTCTGGGAAAGTGGGTCCCCGCCACCGTCTCCCCACGATCCCACCGCTCCAACTCAGCTAATGCAGAGACGGCTAATGCGGTGGAGACGAGCAATTTGCGCCACCGCAGTCCGCCGTTTGTTTTCACTGATCCAATCATCCAAAAAGAGGAACCACCACCGCCCACCAAAATTGGAAGTGTCGTCCAACTTCTACCCTCCGTCAACTAGTTGGGAGGTCTGGTCGATGGGTTTAACCCATGGGTTTTGGTTCAGATTTATCAACAGATCGGTTAATTTTTGGGTTAACAAGGCAACTTCGAACTTTTTAGAACACGAGGAGTCGTTCGACGTCAATTATCATCAATTAGAAAGGCAAATGCTTGTAACATAAGTTAGTTAGGGCCTAGGGGTATTATGTTGTTCATTGTTAAGAAGTTTGTTTCCTTAACAGTAATCATCGACCCGACCCGTTTTACCCGACCTGTTTGACCTGTTTTGGGGCGGGCATGGGTAGTCTCATCGACCCAACCTGCCCTGACCCGCCCCATTCTCGACCCGTTCTTGTCTAAATTACATGAAATCTTAGTCAAATTACTTTGAATTTTACTTTTATCGCATCATATTTTAGCTATAATAAAGTTGTAAATTAGTGAAAACCTCAATTTCTCCAATAATTTAACTACAATTGTCATAATATTGTTTATTTTCTTAGTTTTATAATAAAAATAACGAATATTTCTAATGTTTTTCAAATAAATTGCATACCCATTGGGTCGACCTGCCCCGACCCGCGACCCGTGATCAGAAACCCGCCACGGGACAGGTCTGGGTACCAAGAAACCCGCCCCGGACCTGCCCCATTGTCATTCCTATTGGTCAGCGTTATCATTGTGGTGCGTGATAGAGGTAGCACAATAAACATAGTATTCGAAATGGACTGGTACACTCCGAACATTGTGTACTAGTTGGTCTTCGTGTGAATCGAATCTACTCTCTAGCTAAGTAGCTATATTCCAGTTATCATTATCTTGTAAAAGAAGTAATGTCATTAACGGATCATAACAGCCCCGATCATCACGATTAATATTAATCTAGAACCAAATAGTCCATTTAACTTCATGCGGAAGGGAACCAATTAATCAAAAGCTAAAAATATGTACTATCGTCCAATGCAGTTAAAAGCGCGATTCTACCTAGAAGCGGAAAATGGATAAAATCGTAAAACGTAGAATCAAAGCGTAAAATCTTAAGTTTTTTACGCACCCTCTAAAATAGCTAAAATATGTTAAGTACCACATATAGTACGTAAAATGTGAGTGTGTAGATTTTAAGATAAGTGGATTACTACATGAAATTCATAATTAAAATGTAATATCTAACACATAAACTAATTTGCGTTGACTCAAAAGTAGAGAAAACTCATAGCATCTTAATAATAAGCTCATAAACGTAGATCGTAACCCGTACACGAGCTTGAGAATCCAAATTCTCATAAGCTGGTTTGAGTTTACATAATTACATACGATCAATTACCCATAAACTTTCATCGTAACCCAGGTAAGAGCCACAGGTGAAGATTAAGGGAGAAGACTGATAGAAGGTCAACGACTGTTGAGAATATCATTCGGTGTCTTTTCAACCTAAAGTGAAGCCCTATTTCGACACTAGTTGTAGAATGAGTGATGAATCATCTTTTCCTTTTTTTATTTTTTGCTGATATGTCTCCAAAATTACATCATGTTGGGCCAATTAGCACATTTTTATGAGATGATCAAAATCGTATAAAAACGCTTCAGAATCACGATATTACCGATTTTAAGCGATTTGATCGATTTTACCAGTGTTTTTACCAGTTTTTTTGACTAAGCGACATTAGGTAGAAACTGAAACGTTTTGGTGGCCTGGATACGTAAAAACGTAAGTTTTTACGTTTTAATGCGCGATTTTGACTGCACTGCTATCGTCTCCTCCCACTAAAACTACCAACTACGCTCCCTCTAAAACAATATCAATATTGATCCGTCCATCTTCAATAAAGCGTCCAATTGAACACCATGAACATAAAGACCATCGATTCATCAACACATACGTGCATTGATTGTCAGTTTTGGCACCCGAATCATCAGAGTTAAGGCATGGTCGGCTCCAATTTGGATGGATCTGATAGGGCACTTTCAGCTAACCATTGGCCCAGTGGAACTGAAACCCAGATTCGTTTCCAGGGTTTTAATTTACTGTCTTAAGTTTGGTTGGTAGGAAAGATTCTTGAGCTTTAATTTGGCGTATAGTATAGCAGTGAGGGGTTCAGTATACCAGCAGAGATTTGTAAAGCGTGGACTGTGGAGGCAGCAGAAAGCTATACTGGGGATTTGAGGTGTTAATAAGCAGTGGATCGAGATTCGATTCCACACCAGAGAGAAAATATTAGATAAATATAGCTATTTGTCATGCATGTTACTTGTATTGTATATATTATTGAGGATCCAAAGCCTAACTAGCTAGATGTATATCTAGATCATTCTTCTCTCTTTTCTTTTTGCGATCATAATGAATTTGAATCGTCCGGATGGAGATTAAACTATTGATTGTTTGCGGGGAAGCATATTTTGTTGAATTTGTGTAATCTCCTTAGTCATCAACAAAGTTGTCGTACAATTCGAACTGTTACCTTCTTGTTCCATGTACTTTTCGTGTGCGCATGAGTGTCGTAAAAAAATATATGAACTAAGACCCTTGTCGTAAAAAAATAATTTATATTATACTCCTTGAATTTCATTTTAACACCCATCAAAAAAAAAAAAAAAAAAAAAAAGAATTTCATTTTAACAAACACTGTGTATTGGTTAAACATGCAACTCAAGTGAGAAGAAATCACCTAAAATAAGTAAGCTAGGGAAAGAAAATCTGAAGGAAAGGATAGGAAGAGAACATAAATCAAATCTCAAAAGTGGGATCCAGGTCATGATGAACATTTGTCAGTGGCAGCCATCAAGCAAATTTGGCCCTATTCTACTCTTTATGACAGCATAAACAAACATCCTGCTAATGTACTATTTGCTACAACAAACTCACAGTTTTGTTTGGGTCTTCTCTTCTCCTCTGCTGAGGAATCCATTTTTTTGTGTCATTGAAACACATGGGATGTTCTTTTTTTTTATGTGACTTTACACATAGGATGGTGGTGGTACCTTTTTTCATCATATCCATGCATCCCAAAAGACAAATTGGAATATGGGATAACCCTAAATATCCCACAACCCAAAGGGCATCCATGATGCATCCCAATCCCAAGTGCCCTCTACTTTACTATCCCCTCATCATCCAATCTCATGAAATGAAGTTTTTTAGGTGCCATCTTACTTTTCACTTGAGGGGGGAGGGCTTTCTACTTGGGTTTCGTAAACCGGCTGGAAGACCATTGGTAAAGAAAACGACGTTGTTTTAGTGGAGTTAACTATTAAAAGAAAGAAAGTTGTCATATTCAACTATGAACATTTTGATGTTGTAACTTGGATTCAAGTATAAAAATTTGCATGCTGGCTTTAGATGTTGCATTTAAATATGACGTTTTATCATTATGTTTGTAATGTAGTATTTTATTTTAGCATAGATGGAAATTACAAGTAGCTTGTCTTAAGATAGATTACATAAATGCACAATTCATTTTGTGTTAATTGTTTTACAACTTCCTCATATATTTTGTTTAAATAAGTATAAACCGTCGCATAAACAATTGTATTTATCTAGGACCATATCACTTGCTTGACCGACTTATCAAGATAAAAGGATTTGTCAACCTTGCTCCAAACCAAACTTGCTACAAAATAGTATGGGCGATGGCCTGATGGGTCTCTTCTGCAGCCCAGGCCCAACCGTACGACGAAGCTAATATTTTAAGATTAGAGAGGTAAACACGGCCCAGCCCGTAAGTTACTGGCATGTCTATATTGAGGGCCTGGAACTTTAATTGGAGGAAATTAAAACAAATAAATCCACTCCTAATTTAGACAGGGTTAATTGCATGGTTAGTCACTGAAATTACAAAAAACATTCATGTTTGGTCACTGGAAATATTTAAATCCAATCTTGGTCACTCAATTAGTTAAATGGTTCAAGTTTGATCACTCTCCGTCCAATTCCGTTAAATTTGTCTGATGTGGCAGTCAACCCTCAATGTTGACCGTTAACTCAGTGACGTGGCAATTAAAAAATAAAAAATAAAATAAATTTTAATCTTCTACCGTTTCCAACTCATTTTCACAATAAAATAAAATAAATAAAACAAAAAAATTATAATTACAAATTGAAAAGAGGCGCTTCCTCTGCCACTACATCCCTTCCCCGCAACCAAACCAGCTCCTGCTCCCAATTCCTATCCCTAGCTCCGCCCGTTGCCACCGTCCCCGCCGCTCCCCGACCATAATCACCTGCACTTCCCAACCCTCCACCCCGCCCCTTTCTCCAACTCCGTCAACACACAGTAGGCGAAGACGTGCAGCCGACCCCAACGACGCGCAGCAGGCGGAGAGCGCGGCTATTGCTTGGTTGACTTCGTTCCGAATGACCTTTGGGCCAACCATTTGACAGTTAACGGTCAATCTTTTCCCGGCGAACTAGCTTTCTGCAAAATCGGTGGAGGTGCTAATCAACAACTGTGGTCGTTCATCGCTCCCTCAGAGGGCCAACAATTTAATTTGGGCAAGTCGAGGATTGTCCTTTACCGGGAAAAGATTCTTTACGTGTTAAACTCACTCGATGGAAGCGTTTTCGCCTGTGATCTTCTTGACCAACTACCCATGCTTTCGTTGTTTTTACGTCCTGCGAATTCTGATGCTCTGTTTCGCCGATTTGGAATCAGCTGCCGCCTGGCAATAAATCCAGAGGGAGAGCTGATGCTCGTGATCAAAACCTATAAGGGAGCATTGAATGACCCAAATCTTCTAGGGATTGGATTCGGTGTTTACGAGATTATTGAAGATGAGCAGAGGTGGAATGAGTTCAGAGACATAGGTGGGTACGCTCTGTTCTCCGATCCGTACAAATCTGTATACATATGTGTCAAAGATCATCCAGAGTGCGAAAGGAATGTAAGCATAAATCATAATAGCATGGATCTTAGAATTAGATGATTTCACGAATCGATAATAGATCAGGTAAACCTACCTCGATCCATGACGAGAGCGGCGGCGGCGCTGGAGTAGTAATCACCGGAATTGAGTTTCTCCCTCTTGACCCCTTTAGGTTTTAGGTTTAGAGATTTCTGTGATGGCTAAGAAATTCTACGTAATGGGTTGAGAGGACCAATCCTAGGGTTTCTTTATATAGACCCACCATCAGGGTATATTAGGAATTTACCTATCATTAACCTAATCAATATAGGATTTACCTTATATATTAAACCATTAAATGATAATTACACTTGGGCCACAATTATTCCCTAGTCACTTACGGGAATTGGGCTTACATTCTCCCACTTGGTCCATGTGTCATTATATATCACAAGATCTAATAATAAACATAAGTGTGCACATCATAAGATAAATCCATAATATTTGGTTCACCATAAAGTCATAATCAAGTATGAAAACTAGATTAGGATCATGGCGGTTCTATATCAGTTTATCGACATAGTCCCTTCCATGTACCACAAAACCAGTCTCATGCTCAATACGACACATAACAAGGTATTCATAATGGTCCAACAATAATGTCTTTCCTAAAGACAAAAATCTTGTTTTGTTCACATAATGCATAATGTATATATACTGATCATAATAAATAAAACAAGATTCATAACTTTATTCCAGAAACAAAAATAAATGAGCTCAAAGTGTCAATCCATGAAACATAAAATAACTTTTAATCATGACGTCCTATAATCCCCATCCTTTCGACATGTTCAGTAAATGTCTTAGGAGGCAATCCTTTTGTTAATGGATCAGCAATCATAAGCTGTGTGCTAATATGCTCGATCGACACCCTTTGTTTCTGAACTTCTTCCTTAACGACAAAGTATTTCACCTCCATATGCTTAGCACCCTTCGAATACTTGTCATTCTTAGAGAAGAATACCGCTGCGGAATTATCACAGTAAATTTTCAGCGGCTTGGCGATAGTGTCGACAATTCCAAGTCCAGAAATAAAATTCCGCAGCCATAAACCATGATTCGTAGCTTCATAACAAGCTATGAATTCAGCTTCCATAGTGGATGTGGCAATAACAGATTGCTTCGCACTCTTCCATGAAATTGCCCCTCCGGCTAGAAGGAACAAATAGCCAAAAGTAGACTTCCTGGTGTCTACACATCCAGCATAATCTGAATCTGAATATCCAATCACCTCAAGGTGATCAGATCTCCTAAAGGTGAGCATGTGGTCTTTTGTTCCTTGCAGATACCTTAGTACCTTCTTTGCAGCTTTCCAATGATCTACTCCTGGATTACTTTGATACCTGCCCAGCATTCCGACAGCAAAACTGATGTCTGGTCTGGTACAAGTTTGTGCATAATTCAAACTTCCAACAATAGATTCATAAGGAATGTGTTCCATTTGCTTGCGTTCCAATTCATTCTTTGGACATTGTTTGAGACTAAATCTATCTCCCTTCTGAATTGGAGCGACATTTGCAGAGCATTCAGCCATGTTGTATCTCTCTAGGATCCGGTTAATGTATGATTTCTGAGACAATCCCAACAGTCCTTGTGATCTATCACGAAATATTTCTATTCCAATCACATAGGATGCCTCACCCAAATCCTTCATTTCAAAGTTCTTAGAGAGAAACTCCTTGGTTTGATGTAATAAACCAAGATCATTAGTAGCAAGCAAGATATCATCAACATACAGAACTAAAATTATAAACTTACTCCCACTAATCTTCAGATATATACATCGATCGACGATGTTCTCCTTAAATCCAAAAGATGTAATGGTATCATTGAACTTAATATACCATTGTCGGGAAGCTTGTTTAAGTCCGTATATTGACTTCTTTAATTTACACACCATATGTTCTTTTCCCTCAACCACAAAACCTTCAGGTTGATCCATATAGACTGCTTCATCTAAATTCCCATTCAGAAAGGCGGTTTTCACATCCATCTGATGGAGCTCTAGATTATAATGAGCTACCATTGCCATGACAATCCTTAAGGAGTCTTTCTTAGAGACGGGTGAAAATGTCTCTTTATAGTCAACACCACTTTTCTGAGTGAAACCTTTGGCAACAAGTCTGGCCCTGTGTCTTTCGATATTGCCATTAGAGTCGTGTTTGGTCTTCCAGACCCATCTATTACCAACTCTTTTACAACCTTCAGGCAAATCAACAAGGTCCCAAACTTCATTTTTATACATAGATTTCATCTCTTCTTTCGCGGCAGCTAACCATTTATCAGAATGCTCACTTTCCATGGCTTGTGAAAATGAAACTGGATCATGATAGAGTCCTAAATCAGATTCTAACTCGTGAAGATAAACCTCATAATCATCAGAAATTGCAGGCCTTCGATTTCTTGTAGACCTTCTTAATGCGATTTCTTGTGGTTCATCTATGTTAGGTTCATTCTCAATAGCAATATTAGGTGGTGCTTGATCGTTCATTTGCTGTTCCTGCAAATCGTTATCATGCTCAACATGTGCAGGAGCAACAACTTGAGAAGAGGGTAGAGGCAAGGATATTTGCACTCTAACTTCTTGAATTTCCACATTGCGTGGCTCTAAGCTCCCACTAACTTCACCATTCTCAATGAACCTAGCATTTCCAGTTTCAACAATTCTTGTACTATGGTTAGGGCAATAAAATCGATACCCCTTAGATTTTTCTGGATAACCAATGAAGAAACCACTGATTGTTCGTGAGTCCAGTTTCTTTTCATGTGGATTATATATTTTCACTTCCGCTGGGCAACCCCAAACATGCAGGTGCCTTAAACTGGATTTCCTTCCCGTCCACAGTTCAAAAGGTGTCTTAGGAACTGCTTTACTAGGAACCCTGTTTAACAAATACACAGCGGTCCTTAAAGCGTGCATCCACAATGATTTGGGTAAAGATGAGTTACTTAACATGCTCCTAACCATATCCATTAAAGTACGATTCCGCCTTTCTGCAACACCATTTTGTTGCGGTGTTCCTGGCATAGTGTATTGAGCACAAATACCACGTCTTTCTAGGAACTTAGCAAATGGACCAGGGCACTGTCCACTTTCATCATATTTTCCATAATATTCTCCACCTCTATCAGATCTAACAATTTTCACCTTTCTTTCTAATTGCCTCTCAACTTCATTGATAAACACCTCAAGGGTATCTACCGACTGAGATTTTTCATGCAGCAAATAGATATATCCATAACGTGAAAAATCATCGATAAAGGTAATGAAATACTTTTCTCCACCAAGTGATGGAACATCAAAAGGCCCACAAATATCAGTGTGTATAATTTCAAGGAGCTGTGAACTTCTTGTGGCTGCTTTCTTAAGTGTGTGTTTTGTGTGTTTTCCTTTAATACACTCAACACAAATTCCAAGGTCAGTAAAATCCAAATTAGGAAGGATTTCATTCTTTACTAACCTTTCCATTCTTTCTTTGGATATGTGACCCAACCGTTTATGCCACAAGTAAGCAGAGGATTCATCAAACAAACCACGTTTAATACCAACATTATGATGCAAGGTTAAGAGAGTCTCAGCGAATAGGGTATCAAGCTTTAGTTTGTACAAACCATCAACAAGGGTACCAGAACCCAATAAAACATTCTGTTTGAACAAACTAATAGAACCATTTCCAATGTTCCAAAAATACTCAGCCTTATCTAGTTGAGACACCGAAACCAAATTACGAGAAATAGAAGGAGCATAAAGGGTATTGACAAGGTCCAAATGATGGCCAGTATCTAAAACCAAACGATAAGTCCCAATAGCTTCAACTGGAACTTTGGCTCGGTTTCCCATATAGATGAACTTCTCATTTTGCCTTATGGTTTGGGTCGTAAGGAATCCCTGCATTGTTTTGGAAACATGAATGGTACAACCAGTGTCAACCCACCAAGTATTATAAGGAACCTCAGTTAAATTTGATTCGAAACATACTGAAGCACTAGGCTTACCCTTTCTTTCGAACCATGCCTTTCTTTTCAAGCAATCTTTCTGATAATGTCCGGCTTTCTTACAAAAGCGGCATATATCCTTACTTGGTTCCTTCTTGTGGATTTTGGCAGATGACTTATTAAGCTTTGATAGTCCTTCCTTGCCCTTCCCATTCTTGTTCCATGGCTTCTTTCCAGCTCCTTTATGACCAACAAGATTGGCAGAATGATTTCCTGGTTTCTTAAGCCTTGCTTCCTCTTGAATGAGCATGCTTTGTAACTCATGCACATTCCATTTATCCTTTAGAGTATTGTAATGCACATGGAATGTGCCATACTCTGGAGGTAAGGAATTAAGGATGAACGTTACTAGGAAATTTTCATTCACTTCCATTCCCATGGTCTTTAGTCTTGCTGCAATGTTCGTCATTTCGACGATATGCTCATGCATGGTACGAGAACCATCAAACTTCATGGTGGTTAGCGTACCCATCAGTGTCCCAGCAAGCGACTTATCAGCAGACTCAGATTGAGAGCTTTCTTTCACGGAATTCATAAATTCCTTAGCACTTTCAGTATCATTGAAAGTTGACTTAATGTTGTTTACTACAGTCATTCGCATAAACATTAGGCTTAGTCTGTTAGATCTTTCCCAAGCTTTATGGAAAGACTTTTCCTCAGCACTGCTAGCATCAGTAAGAGCAGCAGGTTTCTCACTTAAGAGTGCCAAATCAAGATCCAGAACACCGAGGTGAAACTGAACCTGTTCAGCCCATTCAGAGAAGTTGAGGCCATTAAACTTAACAACAGACGTGGCTTGCGAATGAAGAGAAACAGGAACAGATGCTGCAAACATATATAACATGTACTCACACATTAATGCTTTGGGTAATAAGCATAAACTATAATACAGATTCGTAAGCATAAACATAAAACATATATTGATGCTACCTTTGGGCAAAACAACAATATATATGCGATAAATAATCGTAATTGATGCTCAAAATAACCATATAATTGGTGATAGACATACTCAAATTAGATATACTTGCAATCTTTGGATATACTAAATATATCTAACCAAGCACATCAATTTACCACAATAATGTTCATGAATTATAAAACGAGCAATCAACCTTTGGGCGATTCGAAAATATTTTATAATCATGAACTTCAACTTTAAAGCATCACATAAACATTAGTAGTTGAACTTGATTCAACTTGATATCTATAAACCTTCTAATTTGGCCACTTTGGTGACTAACAAATTAATCATAACATAGATATCAAAGATAAAACTTAACTCAAGTCAAAGCAATTGTTAATCATATTCCTCAAAACACATACGCAAAAACTTGTTTCATTAATGGGTTTCTATTATAATAATTACTTAATTGATCAATCATAAGCCTACTGATCAAATTTATTATTAGGGAAACTCAAGCATGTTATCACAAACACAAGGACTTCAATAATCACAGCCGAATCCATTGGAATTTACACTACGCAGACCTGGTGTCTTTAATTGCTCATTATATTCATGATAATAGATTGACATAAGAAAGCATAATGCCAAAGCAATCAGCCAACAGATTAAAAGGAAAAACTAGAATTACAACCTATAAGGGTCAACATATTAAAGCCTTTGTTTGTAAAGCAGAGATCGTAAAATGCCATTGTTAACAAATATATGACAATCCACTAACTCAAGCGAGCGGATGCTTATAAAACAGACAACAAATGCGGAATTGATTATAATCGGCGAGAAAGCTTGGACCAATTTGGATCCATTGTTAACAATTATATGACGGCCTCATATACACGATGATGCAGCGGGAAACATACATAATCGAAAATCATCCATTCATATAAACCCTAAGGCTCTGATACCACATGTAAGCATAAATCATAATAGCATGGATCTTAGAATTAGATGATTTCACGAATCGATAATAGATCAGGTAAACCTACCTCGATCCATGACGAGAGCGGCGGCGGCGCTGGAGTAGTAATCACCGGAATTGAGTTTCTCCCTCTTGACCCCTTTAGGTTTTAGGTTTAGAGATTTCTGTGATGGCTAAGAAATTCTACGTAATGGGTTGAGAGAGGACCAATCCTAGGGTTTCTTTATATAGACCCACCATCAGGGTATATTAGGAATTTACCTATCATTAACCTAATCAATATAGGATTTACCTTATATATTAAACCATTAAATGATAATTACACTTGGGCCACAATTATTCCCTAGTCACTTACGGGAATTGGGCTTACAAGGAATTGTGTTTATTACAGGATGGAGATATTTAGTCTTAATTGTGAGCTACTTGCTTGCATTCGTTCAGATTTTAATTTCCACGATTGGATCTTGCCATCTAATTATTAATTAGTTGGTGTGCTGCTAGAAATATTTTTCTTTTCTCTTTAACATGCCTAGGCTGCAAGTTTTGAATAATGAATTGTTTACTAGGTTTGACCGTTTGAGTATTATTGTATGGATTTATTTTTGGGTAAAATTCAATTTATTTATTATTTTTTAATTGCCACGTCACTGAGTTAACGGTCAACTTTGATGGTTGACTGCCACATCAGACAAATTTAACGGAGTTGGACGGAGAGTGACCAAACTTGAACCATTTAACTATTTTAAGTGACCAAGATTGGATTTAAATATTTTCAGTGACCAAACATGAACGTTTTTTGTAATCTCAGTGACCAACCATACAATTAACCCAATTCAGACACTCTTAATTCAGTTTCTTACAAAATGTACAACATCCCAGAACAAGTTTGGATTTAACAAAGAATCATGGGCTCTCTCCTTCACTTTTCTACTATACACCGTGTGTATACAACCAAGTCCCATCCCCAACCAAAAGAGGCAACCACGACACCAATATACAGTATAAATATGGTGGGGGGTGCTGTGCTGTTTCACTCAATGCTGCACACAGAAGAAGATGGAAAAAATCACAACAATATTAACCAAGTGGCTAATGAAATCACTGTTCCCCGGGGCAACATATTGCGGCGCAGCACTCGAAGCAGCCGAAACACGCTAGAGCCATGCAGAGCTGGGTCAAGGCTACTGCGCATTCGTTGTTCATTCTGGAACAGCACTGGATGCAGCACATGCAGCAGCAGTTGCCGTACAGCCTCTCGCAGCAGTTTGAAGCCGCCTTGATTATCATCTCGGCGGCCTCTGGCAACTTCGGTTGCTCGGCCCCTGGTGGTATGTTGTCCATGGTTGCTGTCAAACTTCCGAACCCGACCCCCAGGCTTGGCAGCATTGTTCTCCTCAGAGTCTTGGTTTCTCCCTTCTCCGAATTAGCTTTCTTTGATCCCTGTTTTTTTTTTTATGGTCATTAGTATTAGCGACTGGACGTATAGGGAAGCTGTACGTATGGTGTCAAAGATGGCATTACTTATTACCTTGCGTCCAGCAGGGGATGATTCCGTGGATTGGTGCACTCTCTGAGTTTCCAATAATGACATGCGTGTGTATTCAGATGCAACTCCAGTTTCTATGCTAATTTTGGAAACCTGGCAGGTACCACTAGAGTTCAAAATCACTGGGATAGTAGTAAGCATATCAAGTTGTGGCTATATTCCTATAAAAAGAGAGCTGTACCTTCTCCTCTAGCTGTTTGCTTGTTGAAAACCATGCCTGGGCTGTTAGAATAGCAATCTGCTGCTTTGCAAATATCTGTAATAGGCCAAAATCATTTATCATCAATCAAATACAACTAGCCGAAGTTTTGGAGCTGTTTCCAGATGTACATTTCATCCATGTCAATCTAGAGCGTTCACGGATTCTCTAACACCCTATTGAGAGATGCAGTAGGAAGATGGAAACGAGAAGCACCTCCAACACCAGTACAAGCCTAGCTACAAGCTTCTCTTTGCTTGATGAGAGAATCCATACCAAATACAACATGAAAGAACCTACATAAGCATCAAGGTCCTTGACTAACAAAACCCATCATCTAGAACCACATGTGTTGCCAATACTCAATTGGATTTGCCATGGCTAAAGCTCTGCCTGGAGGCTAAAGGATTTTAAAAGCAAACATCGCAATCATGCAAAGGTACTTGGCACCTCTAACAGCCCTCTAACGTAAGATAACCATATTGCAAAATAAAGTAAGAACTTGAGAGATGCACCGAAGTTCAGAAAATGTTGCAAATGAGCCGAACAAAACTGTAAAAGGGTGAGTTATTTCCTTTACCTTGTCCAAAGGAACGTCTTTTGCGCTACATATCTTCAAGTCCACAACAAATTTACTGAAGTCGCCAAAAACACCTTCAGCTCTTACAAACTCTGGTAAATTTCCAACAAATCTACCAGATATGGTCCACAACTCCTCACATGAAAGGTCTGGAAGGCGGGAAGGATACGTCTGTTGCAAGAAGATGGGGGAACCAAAAAACCATCTAAATCAAAAGGAGGCAACAAGCAAGCTTAAACACAGGTGACACACAAGAACAAGTCTAGGATCCACCAAGGGATATCAGTTATACAACTAAAGGTTATGGCCAATGCAGAAAAGATAAAACTAGTAGATTCCCGAACCATGGAGCTGACATATAGGGAAAGGAGAAGGGTGGGTGAAATCACTAATTTTTCATGATAAGGGAGATTAGCTTCAAGCATACCTCAACTTCATTATCCAATGGCTCCAGTGATATATTGGCAAGAACAGTAGACAAACCTCTGCTGAAGAAACTTTGCAGTCTAGTCTCTATCGAATCTGATCATAGATAAACAATTACAAGAAAAGATAACAGTAAGAAACTACAACTTATAATTCAAAACATATGTCCTACAGAAATTCAATATGCAATGGAAAACCCTGGAGTCAAGTCCATGTTTCATGACACAAGAACATAGTCAATATAACATTGCTATGCTACCTCCAACCGAAAACTTCGAAAATAAAATGAAGCAAGAAGTCTCAAACTTGTAGCTACCTAGAGAGAGTGAACCAGTAATAAGAACCTTGGACTCACCTACTTCATAAGCAGCATCATTTCCTCCTCTGCCAAGGATTGCAAGCATCCTCAGAAAATGATGATTGCAGTACAACCCTGGAACATTGGTGCACAAAGTTACAGATTATAAAACTGAAGTGAAAATATGAAGACTGACATTTTTCAATAAAATCCTTGTTAGAAGCTGAATTTAACAACTTCAACCGCACAAAAAAGAAGCTTCTCTTCAATGGGAGAAAAGACAAGTAACAGGGATTAGGAGTACAAAATAAGAGCATACCAATGCCAAAAGTGTGTATCCGTGGAGATATTGCTTCCCCAAAAGTTTGTCGACTTTTAATCACTTCACAAATTTGTCTTTCATCTTCGACAGTGCCATCAGTCACAAGGAATATGAGAGGGATTGCACCACTAATGTTGGAGACCATCTCTATTGCCTGAGAGCATGAAAGAAACCCGTAGTAGTGTTAAACTATATACCATGCTGAACACATTGCAAACTGATAGAAACACCAAAATGCTTGGAATAAGCAGCACCAAAATGCTTGGAATAAGCAGACAAATCACCTTATTTAGGGCCTGTGAAATATTTGTACTCCCACCGGCTATAAAATTTGAATTAATCCATTGACCAGCCTTCTCGATTGTGTTTTCAGTTACGGATTCCATGAGTGATGAAAAGACATAACTCTCACCATTGAAAGCTAGTATATTGAATGAATCTTTAGGTTCAAGCTTGTTGAGAGCAGTAAGTATTGCATTCTTCGTAGCCTGAATTGGCTTTCCTTCCATGCTTCCACTTATATCAATAACAAATACGACCTCTCTTCTGAACACCTATCAGATTGAGGAAAATGAGAACACCCCAGTAGGTAGAAGTGTGGAGCCTCACTTATCAGATTAAGCTCATGTTAAACTGACCTTCATGCACTGCTGATTTCCAGGAAAGAGGTAAATGGAGAACATGTCTCTTTGATCAACATCATGCACAGATGGTGATTGCACAAGCAAACCACCAAATATATGGCTTGACGAGACCTAACATAACATGGGATTGGACTATCAAATAATAGAAACAGCCATCTTAAGCAAGCTTCACTATGAATATCAAATATTAGGCATTTTATTCTAGTAGTTATCAGTTTCATGTCCTATAGGGTGAAGCTTACCGCATATGAGAAAGTGAAATCATTGTGCGTCCAAATGAGAACTTCTGTTTCATAAGCCAAAGACAACTTCCCAGCTTCTCTTCTGACTTCCTGAAGACTTGTAAAATAAAATTAAATTAAAAAAAAAACCCCGATACCAACTACACAGTTCAAGTGAAGTTCCCTTAATTATTAAAAACAAAAAAAGTTAAGTTCCTTAAAGAAGGCCGGTTAAGCGTACAACCTTCAAAGGATGACTGGTATGTTTGCATACAATCTCGGTTCCAGAACCAGAGTTCACATTCAAGAGTATCTTCTCCTTCTTGGGTAGCTTCTTTGCAACTGGAGTGACGTACTCTGGGAAACTAAATGGAACTCCTATCGAAAATTCTCCATTCTTGAATACTGATTTCTGCATCCAACTAGCTTTAATTGAAAGTATGGCACCCCCATCAACCTAGAAAGATACAAGAATCAAGTCCCATAGAAGACCATTCCACAACGAAACAACACATTTTTACTGCAGAACACAGTTGACAAGAAAGGAGCTCCTCCAATAAGACTGACTAACCTTTGGGATCGTGAGGGTAAATATGTTGGGTTTGAGATAGCTGCCATTTTCAAGGTTGGCTTCTTTACCCACCACATCCTTGTTGTCGTCCACTGCAATTATCTCAGTAGCATATGACTTCGTATGAACCTCCACCTCGACACCTAGAACTGAACCCTGTTAGCCAAATGGTAATAGTATTACTCGAGAAAGAACAGACATTGAAAGGGGCACAAATAAACAAAGAACCGACCTGTTCGCCCATGGGAAGGGCAATACGGCAATCGCAGCTCTTACTTCCCATGATACAATGAACCCGCCAGGATCCGATTACTTGGACGAAGACATTATCGAAGAAGCAATCGACCTGGAGCTCGATCCGATTCATCTGGAGCGGGATGAGAGCTGGGGGATCGCACCTGCCATGCACGTGAGGCTGGTAGCTAGGTATGTCCGGGTTGTCGACGATACCTGGGTTGGAGATGACGGCGTAGACCATGGGCGACTTCGGCAGGTAAGCGTCCGCTATGGACTTGTCCATCGTCACCGGAATGTTCGGAGGAGCTATGGCTCTGTCCTTGCCCAAGTATATCCGCTTAGACAGCTTCAGCCCGTCTTCAACTGATCTCGAGAAATCCTCCGCCATCATTGTCCGAAGAAAAGAAAGATAGCCCGGAAAATCAACTGGAAAGAGGAGGAGGAGAAGAAGAACGAATTAGAGTATTGCGGTTGAAACAAAGACGCGGAAATTAAGAAGCTGTTAAGTTTCTCAAACAGAAGAATAGACAACAAGGAAAACCAAAACCAGCAACTGCCCGGGGAGGAGGAAAAGGAGGTAATCATACTTCAACTCTGATTGCAGGAAGACCAAAACCAGAGCTAGCAGGCAAGTCCAAAATCCAAATACAGACCCAGAACAGGAAAACTCTGCTGCAAAGCGAAGTCCAGAAGAATCACAAAACACGCCCAAATCATTCACTACCCAATATGGAATTACCAACCAGCTTCAATTTCACGCGGACTTACTAAGCAGAAGATAGAAACAGCAGAACACAAACTCATTTTCTTTCTGTGACAGCTCACCTGAGAAATTGGAGGGAGGGAGGGGAGAGCAAATCAGGCGATCACGAGACCGACCCAGATGAGATTAGAGCAACCCCCGGTCCCCCCTTTGACTTGGGTTTTGATTGAAATTCGCGAAAGGAATGAGCTTCGGGAAGAAGAAAGCGGGCAGAGAACGAAAGCAAGAGAGAGAGAGAGAGAGAGAGACGACTTGGATCAATTATGGCTATGTGAACAGTCAAAACTTATCATAAATAAATAATGCAACCAACGGTAACTAAACGGAACAGGAACTATGGCAGTGAGATGATGATTGATGGAGGAGAGCAGAGAGAGATGGCGCCATGGCGGGGTAGGCAAAACAAGAAAGGGGCAAGTATAAAAGAGGGAGAGAGTGTGTGTGTCTTGATCTGGGTCAATCGCGAGAGACGTTAAGCTCAAAATTGACCTATTTGCTGCCGATTGTTGCTAGTCTCCTCTAAACAATACCCTTGATCTCAGAGAAACAGATCGATGAAAAAATTGCAGAGGAATTGCGAGCTCCGATCGAGAGTGGAGCAGCGAAATTCAAATACGCTATGTTTATTAAGTAAATCGATTGGGCCAGCTTGACTTTCAGCCAGCCCGTCAACTAATACAGCCGACAAACTTCGATGAACCCACTAAAGGCGACGGTCATAATCCACAATACAAGCTATATCCTTCACCACACATGGAACATGGCGCTAATAAGAGCTACGATAGAGATTGAGAAACTACGCTCCTTTTCTCTTTCTTCGATGGAGAAAGCATATCATCATCAGAAAGAGAATTAGATATTATGATGGACATAATTGAACAGATATTCGACATAATTGAGTATATATGTACATAATTGAACATAGTGGGTGTGTTTCTATAAAGTGTTGTGACTTAACGAGTAAATGAATTGATTCTCCATGTGCGGTTAAAGCCTTCAATCATAAGTCTCACATTCAAATTTTCACGATCTTAGTAATAAAACTTAATTTAACCATAGACCATAGTCATAATAAAAAAAAAAACAACGATATTATCGAAAATATATTTCAGCGTCACAACAAAACAAAATTGGTGGAAGAGATCCAACGATGACGATGAATGCCCTTAGCTAAGATTTCGTTTGGCCAGTTGTCATTGCAGAATAGACAAACAAGAATATACCCAATATGTCGAGAGTATGTGCTGTTCCAAGAGAAGGCGACTTGCCCAATACAGCCATAGCCTAATAAGCCAACAAGTCATCTACTACCAGTACCAACTATACAACCTCAGGATGCCTCATATACAGCTACTGTTGGTGTCTTAGCTTTCCTGACATTCAAACTGTGCACGAGCCCCCTTAAAATTCGATTCTACTTGTTATGCAGCTCACAAAATAACATAGCATTTGAGCTGACATTCAACAGTTGGGGGGGAGGAAAATGCTGGATGAGAGGAAGGAAGGAGGATGAGTTCTGGTACTACTACCTCGATCGTCCAGAAAACCGGGTGCTTCTTCTCGTAGAGGGTGGCGGTTGAGAAGCTTCAGCGGAAGCAGAGTCGGGTTCTACGTCAACCGAGAATCGATACCGCTTCCTTCTGGACCCACTCGATGATGGCTGCTGCGTTTGGGTTTGAGTTTGAGCAGGCTGTTCATCCTCTTCTTCCTCCACGGGTTCACTCTTTGGTGCAGCAAATGGCCAGTTAATGCCACAACTCGGGCATACTATCTTGTCCTGCAAGAAATAGAAACAGTCATTTTACATTAGATGGGCTGTGAGAAAGCCCGTTGACGGTTGGAACAAATAATTTAAATGAACACACTTGCTGCTAAGTTATTACCTTTTTCCGTGATAGTTTCTTACTCAAGCAGTACTCGTGAATTCGCACATTACATCCTTCAGTTGGGCACACTTTAGCCTGCCACAAAAAAAAGGTAAATAATTTGTCTAAAATGTACAGAAAGTAGACAACGTCTTGGAGATCTATAGTTCCGTGAATGCAAGAGCAGACCTTGACGCCACTTTCATTGCAGACTTCACAAGGAGGAATGCCCATGTTATGGAATAAGCTCCTTAGATCAAGGTAGGATCTGAACCCTAAGGCAACATCACCATCAGTAGTTTGAGAAAGCCAATTGTCTCGTATGAGTTCATCGATAGCCCTGTCCTTCTGGGACATTGAGAAATTCCTTATTGCAGCTGGGACTTCAGGTGGACCATTTTGCGACTGGGAACCTCCTGCCAACTGGACCTGCAGAAAAAATATGTAAAGACTGTCATATACATACACCAGTATGGAAAGCATGAAACGCTTGTGAATATATGTGCACTGTGAAATTTTACCTGAAAAAGCTTATGAGAAGCATAATTCTGTTGAGTTTAGAAGAAATTACGGCTTGCAGTGTCTATGATCTATACCATTATTAAGTGAATAGTAAAATGGATTTTCTACTGATATGGCAATGCTAAATCAAGGTGTATGGTCATTCAACTGAAGTTATTCTGTGTCAATAATCTCATCTTTGTTCTCTTCTCAATCTCTCTAACAAAGAGCTACCACATGTTCTCTTTTTTGGTTTTGCTTTACTGTATTAATGTTTCCGTGCATTTTCTACCGAACCAATTTGTGTTTCCACGACTATATATTTACAGCTACTCTATTTTCTTCCCAACTTCTACACCTTACCTATTGGGTTCTGCCTCTCTAGTTTGTTTGCATAGCTACCAATTATCAACCCTTGCACATTTCTCTTCTGATCGTAGATATTAATATCAAAGTCCAGTTGATGGATAAACAACTATACTCCTGAATCAGCACTTTCACAGTTGGAATAGATGGATACCAGAGATAATTCCTTCTTGCACATTAAGAGGCCAAGGAGACTGACTAGTATAAAAAACCAATTCTTTTATTATCATCAAAGTATGAGAAGCCCATACTACTAATCCGCCAAACAAACCCTGAAAAATTGGTGTGCTACTGGAGTTATACATACCTAGTTGCATAATCAGTCCATTTTATCTTCCACTTGTTACATAGGAACACTTTAGACTTGAAGATCAAATATATTTTACAGAGAAATTATAACTTGAACAAACAACCGATATGTTATGTAAGCTATTTGCACAGCACACATATGTTATGAATACCTGATTCTCCAGTCGTATGTTGAGAGCTGTAATGGTGGATATGCAACCCTGAGCAGCTTCATCTTGTATAATCGCTTCTACCTGAAAGATACGGATCAGGATGGAACAAAAAAAGGAGATTGAAAACCTCCAACTACATTTAAATCACGTAACAAATTGGACCAGCAAACACATGCTCACAAGGATAATCAACTAGTAGCTAAGAGCAAATGAAGGTAGCAGACATGGCCAGTTAATGAAGTGAAGGAAAATTGCACTCATGTAAAATGCAAACAACAAAGTGAACTATCCATAGTTGGAATAAACAATCCAGATCAGCAAACAATAATCAGATGCAATAAACATAAACAATATCAGATACATAACGAACTACTTAGAGTAGCATCAGCTGCATCGAAGGTGTATGCATTCAATTTTCAATCAGGTGGGAACCCATATATCTCTTTCAACAAACTCTGTTTACGAGGCTTAATGCAAGTTAAAAAAACGCGACTTCTTGATCCTATATGTGACAGGCTATCAAACATGATTAAATACCACGGGAATAGCAGGTGTTTTAAGTACTCAGCTCCGTTATAACCGAAACAATCAAGACAGGGATGAAATCATCCAAACCCGCAGGCCAACAGCAATTCAGTTTTCTAAGGAACTTACGATTCCCTTAAACAAAGCAATATGTGGGATAGAGTACTTCGTCCCCAGCTTGGATTGTTCATCAGCAATATTGTTGACCAATCCATAATAGACTCGACCATCATTTTGGTTCCGGCAGCACCTCAACTCCATCTGAACAAACGAAAGCTCCTTATTTATCTTCAGTGTGAAATCATTGAAGTCCTTTGGGTTAGCGCCTGCACCAGCAAAACACATAACCACCCGCCATTAACATAATAGCTCAACGACCGCTACAGTAACAAAGGTGCCCTAAGAAAAACAACCCCAAACCTGCATGCATAAAATTGACTAAGTGAATCGATTTCTCCCACCAATATCTAGAACCTAAAATTTTGAGTCCATAATATTGCTAAAGCGACCAATTAAAACGATCCATTCTACCAAAAACAAATGGAGAAGGATTGAAGGAGCAAGACTTACGAGGGTTTTTCCCAGTAACGTCGGCGTAGATTTTGCGGAACTCGTCCTCCATGAGCGGACCACGCGCCATCAGAGCTTGGATGACGGTGTGGTGCTTCCAACTGAGCACCGCCATTCTGTTCAGCTTGAAACCCTAGAAGTCTGCGGTGCGGTAGGATTTATAAGAGGCCGACGGAAACTTTCAGCTAGTTTTACTTGGAATTGAGAAGCGGAAGCTGCGCTGGAATTCCTCCCTGGCAAAAATCACCCTAGGGGAAGAGACTGATAGAGAGCGGGAAATTACGGAGCTCGCGCCGGTCTTGTGTCCGTCAAACTAGAATCTCAGCTCATCGGTGAAGTTCAACATTCATTAATGGCGGGAGCTGAAAATTAAGCCCTCGCTTTTGGAAACCCGCCATTTCAATTTGTTTGAAGGGCCGGGCCGAAATAAGGCGGTAGAAGCCCAACTAGGACTTATCTCTTACAAGCCCAGCTACATTACCACGATTCTTTCCCTTCTTCTTCTTCCTCATTTTCTAAAATTTATTGTATTTTTCTTTTATCTTATTACTATAAAATTCACTGGCAAAAGTGACTAACTCATTTAGAGAATGCTAGAGCTTTTTTGAAGCAGGCAAATCTGCCTGCACTGGATCCATGGATGAACAACAAACACAAACTACTACTTGCCATTCGATCACCGGCCATAGTCTCTTGATTACACAAGTAGGAGTATGCTACCTAAACAAAAACAGTTGGCACACTGAATAAGTAACTGGAACAGCAGAATCTCACACAACATGCACCTCGTAGATATGCCAGTTCAGAGTCGATCCTGTGCCTCGATGAACAGCAAGAAGAAGCATCCTACTACAGCTTAACAAACACTTTACATTTTTGTTTCCTTTCACCTGCAGGGGAAAAAATGGTCAAGGGAGAATGACTTTTCTAGGCAGCTGCTGAGCAGAGAAAGCTGCCTCTCCGTGGTGGTGCCCATGATCGTGATCGTGGAAGATGAGCGTCAATATTCCTACCAGACATAGAACCGATCCCACCAAAAGCTTGTCGTAGCGTTCCACCCAGTGGAACTTGATTTGACTGGCGCCGTAGAATGACAGAGCCACCAGTGAAGTCATAACAGTTATCGTGCTGCCAATATCACAGAGTTCGACGTCAGTTGAGGTGGGAAGATAAGCCAAACCATAAAGTGTAGGCACACCTTTCATGATACAGGGATTGATTACAGTAACTTCATCTAAAGGGTTAATGGCCATATTAGTTTCCTGAACTATGTTGTCTTCTCAAATACGACCTTGTAGTTGTACCATGCACAAATGAACTTTTTGTGTACGAGAGAAATAGGAAATGCAACAGTCAGATGATGATGTCATACCTGATTAGCAGCACGATGATGGCAAGCACCATCATAGAGGATGAATTACCAACTGCAAGGAACACTGGAAGAGTAGTCGCACAAGGAGATAATGCAGGAACAAGAACAAGCCCTGCAACCGCCATTTTCTCCATTGGTTGGTTATGTGAATGACTGTGCCCACCTTTCCCAGAGAGAAACAGTAACACGTAACTACCTCCGAGAATTACGAGAAGAAGTGAAGCTAGCTTGTGCACTGTTTCTTCACCGGCAATTGTATTTGCCATTGTGATTGCTGTGATGCCCAGGAGCGAAGTTGAGATAACATGCAAGACTGCCCCAAAAGCAGCTACAGGGAGAAACAAATACGAAGATCAGCCAGTAAACAACCATTAAAACTACTAAAATTTTGATTCTTGAAGTTGCACTGAAGTTGTATATGTTTCTCAGAAAGCCTGTCAACCTCACAACTTGAGCAATAGGCAAACTATAACCAATCCACATAAACAAGGGAAATGAACAGTATGGAGATAAGAGTGCCTAAAGTAACTAGTTATCAGGCAGCATGAATAAACCGAATCTGCATATTACAGATAGCCACCGAAGCAGTGATGAATTGATAAACTCATCTGACGAAACAAGTAGTTGCAACCACTCTTACAAACACAACATTTTAAATCAAGAAGCATGCCTGCAGCTATCCGCAATGCAGCTGCCAGAACAGTAGCTAGTGACACTAATCAAGGAGAGGACTAGCTGAACATAGCATATCCTTGATGGAGGAACTTTCCCTCGGACTAATCAATTAGACACGATCAAGGAAAGGTGGTTCTACTAGGCAATGTAATTGGCTACTGCCACTGCCATCTTTGCAGGAAAATGCAAAGACCAGTGCTAATAACTGAGTTGAAAAGACGATGAATTCACAAATATACTAGTATGAAGCCTTACAAAAGCAAGAAGGCATGACATGAAACACTAAGCCCACACAGTCGAGCTATCAAAATCTGATCAACAAGTAAAGAGGTCAATACGCCCACGATAGATTCGCAGGTCGCCAATCGCCATAACCTAACAGTGCGTCTCAAGAGTTCAAATGCAAAATTGAAGACTTGCAGAGCTGCCTCCCTAACTACCGATCCAGATCGAGAAAAAACAAGCACGGAATGAGATGGCGCCAAAATTATCTGCGGAGTGGCGGGAATGCACCAGATCTTAACTTAACAACAGATGCAGCCGACTGAGGAAGCAAAAGAGAGTGCGGGAGAGGGAGAGGACATACTGACGAGGAGGGTTCTGGAGAGAGTCCATTTCTGAGCGCGGCCGACAATGGAGAAAGGCAGCCAGTGGGTGGGGATAAAGGAGTGAAGAAGCGAGACGGTGGCGATTCCCCCGATCGTGGATAGATCTTCGGCGGTGAAGCTATCCATCTACGAGGACAAACACGACTCTGGAGAATTTCCTCTTCGATGTGTAATGATCGGCCGAACCCTTCTTCCTCCAGATGAATCGCGAAGAAGCAACAGAAGAACAATAACTGCGATGGGAAAATGATCTCTGCGACAATCTGCTACATTACAGTCAAGCACCTCGATTACGTTTCAAGGGAAAGGAGGGGCAGTCTTTCTGTTTGGATTGTTGGTTGTTTGGCGGAAGAAAGAAGGAAGGAGAGAGTTCGGTGCGAACTGCGAAGCTTTTCGCCTGCAAAAAATGGGAACTGAATGAACAGGCACAACTAATAAATACAGTGATGAGTTTGATTGATGTAAAATTTTCTTGGTTTTATTGGTAATTTCATTGAGGTAGAGTAAAATTAAGGGTAAATACAATATATTAGCCACAATTATTATGAAGTGGGGAATTATAGCCATAACTATGGAAATTCAAATTATTAGCCAAATATTAATTATTTGTTAACAATTTCGTTAGTAATATTGACTAAAGTTTTACGTTTCAAAGTTATAAATTAAAAGCAGTTCGACGTGACTGTTGCCGTGGCCGATGATGTAACCTTCTAAGTTAAAAATTCAATAAAAGTAATGGACAGTTAGCCATATCTTGACCCGCAACAATAGTTATGGCTAATAATTTGAATTTTCATAGTTGTGGCTATAATTCCCCGCTTCATAATAGTTGTGGATAATATATTGTATTTACCCTTTAATTTTTAACGAAGAAGGTCACGGTAGCAGCCACGTCGGACTGCTTTTAATTTATAACTTTAAAATATAAAAGTTTAGTCAGTATTACTAATGGAATTGTTAACAGATAGTTAATATTTGGTTAATAATTTGAATTTCCATAATTGTGGCTATAATTTCCCAATTTATAATAGTTATGACTAATATATTGTATTTACCCTAAAATTAAAATTAGCTCATTACAGCTCATAAATGTTAACACTTTTTTTTATTGGAATAAATGTGAACAACGTTGTTACAAACTTCATAGCATCTATTATTAATTAAATTTTTTGAGTCTTCAACTACATTATGTCAAAATATAAATATTTAATTAATAAATATAATCAAAACTAATAATATTCAAATAATTAAAATAAAAAATAATCAACTAATACAATCATCGTTTTCATATTCCGAAAGAAACGAAATTACATTCGTTGTCTACATTTTCAAGTAAGTCGATTTCATTGTATCATACTAAACAACTATTAGAAAACGGGTTGCCAATTCAACTTAGTAGTTTGTTCTAAACATAGTTCAAAGTTGAAAATACACTCGCAGTTGCAACTAGGAGAATCAAAACTAGTGAATCGTCCTACGGCTGGACTGCTTTTAGGCATGGTCCATGAAACCGTACCGAAGATCGTATCGGGAAAGTCAGTGTTAGGGTATTTTATGGTAAAATCGTAATTTAATCGTAGTTCAACCGTTATACCATTAAATACCGCCTATCGGTTTGACCTCCGATACTGGTATTACGTGGTTGAACCATCGGTACGGTACGGTTTCATGGACACTGCTTTTAGGGTTTATGTGCAAACTGCAAAATGTCGAATAGACATAAGGAAAAAGAGAGATCCGATTAGGTCTTTATTCCAATTGGGATTTTGCTCTTTTTTTTTTCGTCCCAAAACTTATCCATGTCTTGGGACAATGTCCAATAGAACTAGCTCCGCCTACGATGGTAGTCGGTAGAGAGGGGGCTATTTGCAACCAACACGAAGAAGGTGACGAAATGCTTTGAAGTGGTGAGGCAAAATGGCTTCACTATGGTGACCAGTAAAATTGAATCACAAAAGAGGTAGTTTTAGTGTGGATTTAGGTTGAGGATTATGCACCACAAGTTACTTTTACGATGAAGTTTTGAAAATTATCATTTGGATGATCAGCAAGAAGTGGTTATACATGGGTGAATTTTTAGAAAATAGTGACGATTCTGTTTACATCAAACTATACGCCCGGTGTGATTTAAAGGGTAAACATTAATTATTAGCCAAACATTACTTGCATTCCATTCTACGTTGATTTAAATTTGGTTAAGTAATCTTAAAATTTAAAAATAATTAATCAAATCGGAACTAAAATTTACCAAATACGCTTTCCATTTAACTCTAATTTTCAATTTTTTCTTTAAATATCACTTCGAGTATGTACCAATTTGATCGAAGTATATTCCCCTTAAATTGAAAGAATACACACTCGATGAATGATGATCGACTTTGATCGGACAATGTATTGAAAAAATTGATCATTATATATGTGTACAAGTATTTGTAAAATTGTACTGTATCGACCTTTAAATATGGGGTTAATACCTTAGTTTGGCCCGAACTATACACATACTTTCTACTTTGGCCCGAATTATTGAATATTGCTACTATGGCCTGAACTATGTTGCAAACTTCCTCATATGGCCTGGAGGCGCGTTTGACCGTCAAAACAGACGGTCAACCAAGCTGACCGTTAGTCAATTGCCACATCACCTGCCACGTAGACAAAAAAAATTATATTTTTTTTTACAAAAAATAAAAAATAAATTAATAACTCTAAAATAAAAAAGGAACGGAAAATAAAAGAAAAAAAAACCATCCCTATCTTCCCGCATCGATTCGTATCGGGAATTACCTCCCCCCTTTCAGACCCATCGTCTACCCCCAACTCCCTTCCCCGACGAATTCTGGGCGATTCTCGAAGATTCTCCGGCAAATGCAGCGGCGGCCGGTCGGTGAAAGACGCCGCCGTCGCTAATTCGCCGGACTCCTTCCCCGACTCCTCCTTCTCCCTTCCCCTTCGATTCGCCCCGCTGCCGACTCTCCTCTACTCTCATCTTCAATCTCACACTTCACTTCACACAGCACCGCCACTGGGCAACGTTCTCGATTTCTTTCTTCTTTTCCTTTTCCTTTTCCTTTGGTTTGATTGGATTGCTTCTCCTCCATTTTTGTCGGCATCGCCACCAAGATCTAGCTTCTGATCTCAGCACGCCACTCCCCCCATTCCCCCAGAACTTCGCCGCCAAAGCCGCCGCCCAGCGCCTCGCTCAGGTCATGGCTTCCCAGACCGCCGACGACGACGATGACGACGACCCTGACGACCTCGATTTCCGTTACAGCGCTCCTCCTCCTCCTCTCTCTATCTCCCGCACTGCCGCTGCTTCGAATGCTGCTGCTCAACCCGCTCCAAGGATCGCCAGATCCCCTTCCCCTGCTGTAAATTCCCTCCGCCATTTATCTCCTTTTGGATACTTCAATTAAGCGTCTCGGTTGAATTGATTGGTACAAAATGCGGGAATTGTGGACGATGCTCGATTTGGGATTACTAGCTAGTTCATCCCTTAATCCGCATTTAAGTTAATTACTCAATTTAGTGTTGCGTGTCTGTAGCTTTTAGTACCTGATTTAATGCCTGCATTGCTGGTAACCATTTCGATATTTAATGGGGCGAATCGATGCGGGAAGATAGGGATGGGTTTTTTTTTATTTTTTTTTTATTTTCCGTTCCTTTTTTATTTTAGAGTTATTAATTTATTTTTTATTTTTTGTAAAAAAAATATGATTTTTTTTGTCTACGTGGCAGGTGATGTGGCAATTGACTAACGGTCAACTTGGTTGACCGTCTATTTTGACGGTCAAACGCGCCTCCAGGCCATATGAGGAAGTTTGCTACATAGTTCAGGCCATAGTAGCAATATTCAATAATTCGGGCCAAAGTAGAAAGTATGTGTATAGTTCGGGCCAAACTAAGGTATTAACCCTTAAATATGTTACGGTCTACAATACACCTACCGGTTTTTGTCATGGGCTCGGTAATTCTGTGCCGGGCCAACCCAACCCAGCCAGCCAAGGCCGAGGTTGTTGTAATTTGTAAATTAGCAGGACCAAATGCAAAGCACACGAAACGCAAACCAAGCGAATTACAACGCTGCAATTCGCATTTCCTTCCCCTTTCCCCCCTCTTTGCTTCCCCGATTTAGGGTTTCAGGAAATCGTTGGAATCAGCCATGGCAGAAGTCGTTAACATGCCCGTCGATTCCGTCGACCGCCTGGACGCCGGCGGTGCCGGCAGTCGCAAGGAGAAGTCAGGCGACGAGGACCCCCAATCGTCGCCTCCGCCCCCTCCTCCCCTGCCTCCGCGTCGTCGCGACAGGGACTCCCGCGAGCGCCGGGACGACAGGGACATCGACCGTCCTCCCAATAGACGAGGAGGCGATTATTACGACCGCAATCGGTCTCCTCCGCCTCCGCCTAGAGACAGGGAGAGAGATTATAAGAGGAGGAGCAGTTTGAGCCCTCCGCCGGTTCCGTATAGGGATAGGAGGCATTCCCCGCCCCCGCGCAGGTCTCCACCGTACAAGAGGACGAGAAGGGATGATGGTGGTTACGACGGGAGGAGAGGAGGAAGTCCTCGAGGCGGCTTCGGGCCTGGCGATAGAAGGTGAGTGTAATTAGACCGTGATCCATTGATTGTGATAGGGTCACCGGTTGATTAGTTCTTCCAACTAACTGAGAAATTGAGCTGATATGATGTAGTAGAGAGGTAATAGAACTGTGGCATTGAGCTGATGGAAAGTAGATATCCGGTTTCTCCTGTATGGTTGCTCTTAGACTTCAGTTTTCACATGTTCTTGTAGCCCATCTTGTTTGAATACTGGCGCAGAAGCTAACTACTTTATCTAACAAATGCTTCCTTATCTATGAATACTTGGGGAAGCCTTCCCATGCAATAGGCTATAGATTTTAAGTAAGTTGTTAACAAAAATGCGATGTATTTCGACAATTTGCATTTCAACCTATATAACACATACTTGTTCATTCCCCTGCAGGCCTGGATATGAATTCGGTGGTGGATATGACCGTGAGATGGGTGGAAGGCCTGGGTACGGTGACGAGCGTCCTCATGGTCGGCACATGGGTGGTCGTGGTGGATATCAAGGTAGGTAGTTAGTTTTTGAAAGCCAACTTGAACCTGTCTTATAATCCAGCTCCAAATTTCTTGTTATAATCCTGAATTGTAATAGTATACACTTTCTGTTACTCTTTTAGTGGTTTCGATGTTCATATTATTTGGATGAGTTACACATCCAGGAGGATTACTTTTCCTCCTAAATCTTAAAAGTTGCAATCGGGGTGTCTTTGGAGTGTCTCCTACTGGTGCAGTAATGCTTCCGAAGTGATAAAAAAAAGTCTATTTTGGGCTCATCGCCCCTGGAATTTATCCGGCAGGCTGCTTGTGCTTCTCTCAGGGCAATTTGTGAAATCAGACTCCTCTAAGGCGTGCTTTCAGCTGCTATATCATTTGTAGCTAAGGGTCTAGAGCATTCTTTTCCCTTTGAGTGCTGTAGACACTTAGCTGCCAATGGTATAAGTGGCTCTATTCCTTGTAATATCTCATTTTGTCAGCTAAAATTTCTTGAAGAGGGTTACTGCTATGTGGGCGAGAACTGGGAATGGTATGGAAGTGTTCTGCGGGAGGTCTTGTGGTGTACCAGTGGAACGAACTTTGAGAGAATGCTACGGTTGACTGAATTATTTTCTGTTGTGGTTACTAGGTCTTCACTTCATAGATTAGTGGGTTCCAAGTATATTCATGTGGTGATCCTATGACAATGGTCTCTTTGGTCATATAATGTCAATTTGGAACATCATATATATGTACCCTTCTGCCTGCAAATCTGCAATGCATTTTTTATTTCTGATGAAACCACGTTTGGACCTCATAATGTCGATGCTTGAGAGCCAAGATATCTAGTGTCATTGGAGGGGACGGATCTTCCTTATTTAATATCCATCTGTCGGTGGATTGCAGTTTGGATCCATGCTTCAACTACGACTAGTACATTATAATGTCTTCAATTTTTGTTATTGAACACTGACGTAGGGGTTTATGCAGGCTGGGATGCAGGTCGTGGTGGTTTTAATGATGCTGCCAATGCTGGGTCTACTCAAAGGTTAGTTTTAGTTGTTAGTGGAATGGGCTCTTTTACTAGATTGTAATGTTTGTTTTCTTTATCATGCCGTTTACTCCAAGCTTCTGTAAGCTCATTCTGATTGATTGTAAATGTGGTTGTAGTTTGGCTTACATTGAACAGATGCGTCCTGGATGCATTTATCCACAGTGTGCTATGTTTCTGTTGTTGAGGGAGCTGCTTATGTTATTCATAAAAAAAGAGACCTGCAAATGTTTGATGATGTTAACATATATTTTCCAACCAATCAACACAATGTATAAATTTAAAAAGTGTAGTGTCTTGATTCTATTCTGGTTATGTTTGTTTCCATCGGTAGTCTAACGTGGCAATTCCTTTCCTCTCCAGAGAAGGTTTGATGTCATACAAGCAATTCATTCAGGAGCTTGAAGATGACATACTTCCTGCTGAAGCTGAACGCAGGTACACAGAGGTCACAAATCTGGTTACGCATGGGGTTGATTCTTTGTTCCAAAATTCTGAAGTAGCAAGACTATTTGATTGCTCAGATATCAAGAATACAAGTCAGAGTACATATCAACTCAGAAAAGAGTATTTTTTGATGCACACAAAGATGAGGAATGGTAAGTCCTTACTTGAATAATTCTCAGATGAATTTGTACTAGTTTCTTGTTCTCATTGATGTTTTATTGGTGCAGGTTAAAAGATAAATACCATCCCACCAATCTGGTGACAGTCATAGAAAGGTATTTTCTAATGACTTGTATGTAAGGATGAGTTGTTTCTTATTTAGGTTTTCCTAAACTTGCCATTACCTTTGTGTGACTTTAGTAAAGACTGAAGTTAGAATGCCCAACTATGATGAATGCATGATTGTAGCTCTTAAGATTACATTGCCTCAATTCAGTACCATAATTGTTTGATTGCTTGTTGTAGTTAAGATGTGATTTGGCTTTACTGTTTCTCTGTTGTTATTTTATTTAATTTTTATATCTGTAATTGTTGTAGGAGGAATGAACTTGTCCGCAAAGCTGCCAAGGAATTTTTGCTTGATCTGCAGAGTGGGACATTGGATGTGTAAGATTGACTGTCTGAGACACACACTTATTTATTCTGTATGTTTGCTATAGCTTTAGATATATGTCGTCATATGTGAAGTCTGAATTTTGATTTTAATATGGCAGAGGTCCTGGTGTCAGTGCTTTGCCCCCAAGTAAGACTGGACAGACGACCAGCAACCCAAATTCTGATGATGAAGGAGATACTGGGGGCAAAAGAAAGCGCCATGGAAGGGCACCTGGCAAAGAATCTGATGTGCTTTCAGCTGCTCCGAAGGCCCACCCTATTAGTTTGGATCCCAGAAGAATTCAAGTTGATGTTGAACAAGCACAGGCTCTTGTTCGCAAGCTTGATTCTGAAAAGGGAGTTCAGGAAAATGTCTTAGCTGGTTCTGAGAGTGATAAAACAAACAGAGAGAAATCTCTTGGTGGCTCCACTGGCCCTGTTATTATTATACGAGGGTTAGCCTCTGTTAAGGGATTGGAGGGGATTGAACTATTGGACACTCTTCTGACTTATCTTTGGCGGATTCATGGTGTCGACTACTACGGGATGCTTGAAACAAGTGAACCTAAAGGTCTAAGGCACATTAGGGCAGAGGGAAAGACGTCTGATACTGGAAGTGGAGGACCTGAGTGGGAAAAGAAGCTTGATTCCTGTTGGCAAGAAAGGCTGAGGGGACAGGATCCGCTAGAAATAAGGACAGCTAAGGAGAAGATCGATGCTGCAGCTGTTGAATCTTTGGATCCTTATGTGAGGAAAATCAGGGATGAGAAGTATGGATGGAAGTATGGTTGCGGAGCCAAGGGTTGCACAAAACTATTTCACGCTGCTGAATTTGTGCACAAGCATCTGAAACTTAAGCATACGGAAGTTATCTTAGAGCTGACATCCAAAGTGAGGGAAGAGCTTTATTTCGAAAACTACATGAAGTAAGCACATTCATGTTTTGTATTATTTTTTCTCTCAAAGTTTTAGTTTTTATTCCCTTGATGAATGTTTGGTTTCTGTATACAGTGATCCAAATGCACCCGGTGGCACTCCTGTTATGCAACGGCCTCAACTGGTAATCCCTTATGAAATCAGTTCTACTAAGTGGCTTTTATAGGTCTACATGGTTGGTTCTGAGACTAGTTGCACATGCTATAGTAGAAAGTTCTTGAGAGTTATGGCAGTGCTTCCTCTTTGTTTTAACGAAGCAAAATTCTTATGTCATATATCCTTTTTCCTGCTTATAAGCAAGTATACCTCCTTTTGAAAATGTCTACTTCCATTTGGCTTCCTCATGGCCAGCAAGTTCGGGCCCTTGGCTTAGCAATTTAGTAATGATTCCCTGTCACTTCTACTTTAGGTTGCACAATGGATACCCTCGTTGCATAAAGTTGCAAGATTGTGCACAGGTCGTTGTAGGAAAATGCTAGAGAGCAAAGTAGTATATCCTTTCTTTTAAAATAGCAAAATCAGTATATGGTACCTTTTTTTCCTGCTTGTTATAAGCAAGTGTTTCTCTTTGGGAAAGTATGGAGTACTTCCATTTGGTTCCCCTTGGCCTAGCTATTTAGAAGCAGTCCCTTCTTGTTTAGAGTACATGATCAATATCCCCATTTGATTTAGTTCCAAGATGTTGAAACGTTTACTTATCACCCTTTACATTTCTTGAATCTGTCTGGTTTTCAAAATGTGGAACTAGAATCCTACTCAATAGTGGGGACTTTGAGCAAATTTCAATGTTGCAGAGCCACCTCTTATATGTGGAAGTGTATTTGTTGAAATGCATAATTAACTTATTATCATTTTCAGTCTGATGATTTTTCTACTGCTGATCGTTCCGATTTAGTGCTACCTAGTAATATTCAATTTCATTGCAGAGAGACCGGCCAATGCGGAAGAGGTTAGGTATTCAAAGCCGATTGAAGGACGACCGTGGGAACAGGAGAGAACTTGACAATCAAGCGAATGGTGGTGATAGATATGATCGTTCTGAAAACCAACAATCAGGGGAGTTCCAGTCAAATAACAACGATGGTCCTGATGGTGGTAATGGCGATGAACAGATGTACGATGGTTTTGGTGGACAAGGTGGAGGGATTCATCCATTCCCCTCTGACATACCCCCACCACCCGTTTTAATGCCGGTTCCTGGTGCTGGGTAAGCTAGCAAAACACTCGGGACCAATCAGATTGATTATCTTTCGTGTTTCCCTATGGTAGTAATATTTGCTGAAAAATTGTGTTTGCAGTCCTCTGGGTCCTTTTGTACCTGCACCACCTGAGGTTGCCATGCGGATGTTCAGAGAGCAAGGTGGTGGTCCTCCATTTGAAGGTGGTGGCGGCGGTAGGAACGCAAGACCTGGTCCTCAATTAGGCGGGCCTGCTCCCATACTTCTATCTTCAGCCTTTCGGCAGGATCCACGACGTATTCGCAGGTATTGAACTTCTTGCACTTTTCTTCTGGCTGAAGCCTCCTCAGTGGCTATTCTCGTGGCTTGATTTCTCTGGTCTTTCGCCATTTCTTGCAAATGGGTGCCTATTAATGGGTTACTGGCATCCGCTTATCCTCTGAAAACTTTCTTTTGTGTAGTTACCAAGACTTAGATGCACCAGAAGATGAAGTTACCGTGATAGACTACAGGAGTTTGTAGAGCCTTGCATTTGGATGCAGAGAGAACTCTCAGCAAGGACCTTTCTTCATCTCTTTTCCGAGACATAAGCTGTACTCGTGCAACACGGCGTGCAGTGAAAATAGACTTCCACTAGCCTACACTCGGGAGTTTTATTAGCAAACGACGACCTTCTTTTGTGCCGGAGGGATGGTGGCTGGCGGATGTTAGCCGTGGCGATCTGATTTACGGTAGGTTGTATGTGATAACGACTGGAAATGGCAGAGTGCAGGATTTTTGTCAATCTCATTTTGGTCGATATCACTCGTCCTTCTCACTTGGCTGGAGTTTCGAGTTTTCTTTTTAGTTTGTTCTTTCACATAGCCTGTAATCTTAGACCCAGGAGAAAACCAATTGAAGGCTGTCTACATAATTTGATTTGTGCAAAGTGGGAGAAAGACACAAATTTGTTACATGGTTCTTGCTAAGCAGAATACTTGACAATTGCTGGGCTTGATACGAAATCGTCGTTTGAACCATAGAAACTAAAAACCTCTGAGCAAAGAAATGATATGCCCTGCTATTATTCATTCAGTTACTAAACGAGTGCAACAAAGAATGTACAACATATTTTACACGCCAATCTCATTAGAGTCAGTTTACAGACTTGCCTACAGAGGGAGTTTTGGGAACAATAAATATCAAGAGTTCTACCAGGGATGAAATCCGAGGAAGGTGGCAAAAATGGAAAAGAAAAAATCTGGGAGGAATGTTGTTCCCTAAATCACTCAACATGTACAAAACGTGGTTTGATTAGTTACACACACCTGGTAGAGCAAACAACTAATGTTCTGTCACTTCCGTTGCTTCTTTTGTTGAGGTTCCACCGATGGCTCTGCCTGCGTTCAAGAGAAGGCGAGAATTCATTATGTGGTTCATTAAGTCGTTTTGAACTTAGCTAATGATTCATGGTTCAATCAAATGATCGTAGGAGTACTACATGATAGGCAACTAGCCTGCGAAGCACAACAGCAGCTTCTCAACTAGTTGAAACAAGTTCGATAATGTCTTTGGTAGTCCAAATTACTCCAACAGATTATTTTTCAGGTGGAAATAAGAGAAATCTGGTACTGTTACAAGAAAAAATCATGCAAGTCCAACAAATTGGTACCAGAGGGAGGCAGACAACAGTTTCACAGGTCATGCACACCTGCTGAAGCATTAAAAGCCGGCTATGAATAGTAGGATCATACTTACAGTGTTTGCGAGCTGCTCACGTATGTAGGCCATTGATCTTAACATAGCAGCTAGGGTATCTCGGGAGATCCTGAATCTCACTTCTGACTCTTCAGAATTAGTTTCAGTATCATTAAGCTGAAACCATGAAAAGGCATGAACATTAAAGACTGTGAGCTGGAACACATGAACACAAGCATACTTCAATTGGCCAAAAAGGGGGGGAGAAGTCAGAACATTAAAGGCATCTGAAAGCACAGAATTTCTAGTTCTCGACCTATAGGTCTTCTTCCTATACCGATGAGAGGATGGGCGTTGTCAAGGGAATGCATATAATCAGTTGATTCTGCAACTATATGATTATAAATATGCCAGTTTGCTATGACTCTATAAATTGGTAACGGCACCCAAATAGCTTTCCGGAAGGAAGATAGGCAGACAACATGGAAGTGAGATTATGAGCCAGGCCTCTTTCGGTAACCATATTTATTGAACCAAAGTGGGACAGAAAACACGATCAGCGGCTATAACTCTATTTCACGTTGAAGGTTGTTCAAAAAAACAATAACCAACTTCTCAGACTCCCCCCACGGCCCACCCCCCAACCACTTATAGGAAAAAGACTTGGAATACACAGGGTAAATACCTTCAAGTTGATTACAGCGAAAGTGTTAGGTGGTGCAGCAAGCTGTTCACTGATATATGCCATAGACTTCAGCATGGGCTCTAATGAGGCTCTTGAAGCATTAAACTTAACCTCAAATTCAGACGAGGGGGTCTTGCTGTAATCTTGCAACTGCAAGCATTTGCAACAGTAATACACGTCAAACAAATTTCTTCCAAGTCAGGCAACCAATATAGAATAGAGACGGGAAACAAACCCTTAGGTTGATAACGGCGCCTCGGCTTCCAGTTGTAGAATTCTTGTTTTCCATCACCCAGGTCATTGATTTAAGACAAGGGAGAACTACCTGCCGGAAAAAATCAGTGGGTTAAGTAACAGTGAGAAGTCTATCTAATGAAAACAGAACCACGTGCTTAACCAAGAAAAACAATGCATAAATTTCATAGAGAAAAGATTATTCAGGATTACCAGGTTTCCAGGAGGACCATCGTCTCTCTGCACAGATACAGGGAACATTCTGGGAAGATTTAGATCAGCAACAGACTGAGTTGAAGCTCCATTATCATTCAGATTAAAACTACGACTAGCTTCATCTTGATCTGGCCATAACAGAGAGGGTGCATCTGATGCTGGTGCAGATGTCTTTTTGTCATCCTGAGCAGCTGTTCCGCTAACCTGTAAGCTTGTTGGTGAAACTTTGGCAACATTTTTCTTCGCAGCTGCAACCTTCTTTATACCCTCTCTAAGGGCAGCCAATGCTGCAGTATAAGTCTCTGAAGCTACTGCCCCCTCTTCAGCATATTGAATAGCTTCTCGACAGAGAGTGTTGTATCGAGATGTAAGAATTTCTGGGTTTGATGATGACTCGGTACTAGGTCCAGCAATCCCATGACCAGCTTTGGCATTTACTGTCCATCGCCCCAAGATATAATGAGGTGGCAGAGTAAGAACGTTTGTAACTGTGAACACTGTCAAAACATGTCTGCACAGAACGCCTGAATACTCAAACATTTGGCAGCTGCAGTTGGCTATCATATCTCCATAGTTCAATGTAACAGTATATTCCTTGTCATCATCTTCAAACTTAGCAACCCTGAATGTGCTGACAGTTGCATCGCCCTCGATTCTGTTAGCAGTATAAACAAAAGTTTCAACCAGCTCTTCCTGAAACTTTGTAAATACTTTCTTTGTATATAGATCTGCCGCCTGTTTCTCCATAGGGGAAGGCGTCCTTAGGACCGGTGTAGTACAAATTGTATCGAAATCAGCTTCTAGCTCCCTTTGGAATGAAACCTCTAACGCTCTTTCGTACTGCCTAAAGAACATTGGTAAGGTAGTCTGTTGGTTAACATAACCATCAAAAAAAGAAGCATCGAATGCATGATCTGGAGATATTACAGCGAAGAAAGAATCTCGGAAGTATACTGGTACCCATTGAGCACGAGAGTCGTACAAAGACTGGAGCCATTCTTGCCCCTTCAGATCATATTTATCAACTAATGAACTCCACGAGAATTCGAATTCCTCAATAGTTTCAGTCAAGTTGATACAATTGTACAGCTCCACCTGGAAAGTGGGATGGGAAAGGCATACATGAGCCAACTTTTCTTGCCCTGCCCTTAAGACATTCCACTTATTCAAACAATGTCTTGTTTCAGGAAAGACTTGTGAGACTGCAACTTGTATGGCCTTATCCCGATCAGTGATAATTGATGCAGGATGCCGATCGTTCATCGCCGTAAGAAATGTCTTGAAAAGCCAAATAAAAGAAGCCTCAGACTCATCCAGTAGTATTGCACAACCAAACAAAATCATCTGTCCATGATGGTTCACCCCTGTAAATGGAGCAAATGGTACCCTATATTGGTGGACTCTGTAGTTTGTGTCAAATGTGATGGCATCCCCAAAATGACTATAAGCTGTCCTTGACCTAGCATCAGCCCAGAAAACATTCGAGATACGGTTATCTTCATCGAGCTGTATTGCATAAAAGAAACCAGGGTTCTCAGCCTGCATCTTCTTGAAATACTCCAACAGATTTTGTGCATCCCTTCCTAGTGTCTTCTTGTGCATAATTGGCCAAATAGCAGGATTGATTGCTACTGGATAGCTCTTCATAACACGAGTCGGTTCACCAACAGAGTTCCTAATCCCACGATTCTCTTGTTGGGGTCTGTTTCCATCCATGGAAACATACATTAGTCCACTGGGAACTTTCCCCACCACTCGTTGGTTCGTTTCAGTGGAGAAGGATTTTGCAGCACCAGCAAAATGCCTTCTGGGCCGGAGTGACTGAAGTTTGGTGGCACCATTATTAGACGACTGTTGTTTGGTGGGGCCATTATTTGATGTCTGAAGTTTGGTGGGACTGTTATTAGAGGAATGAGTATGATCTTTCACAAACTTTGTGACCACCCACTTATCCTCACTCTTCAGTGCTATCCTAAGCATTGCATCACAAGTATCAGTAGACCGTCGCTTCGGTCCTTCTTTACCACACAAAAATTCCCGAGCAACAATTGCCCCATTAGTTTCTGAACGAACCGACTGACCATCCTTGGAGTTGAACCCTAGACGTCTAGTGTACTCTTCATAGAAAGTCTTGGCAGCATCGTCAGTAGTGAACTCCATACCTATGTGTGGCTCAGCAGCAGTACCATTATCACGTTGCACCGTGTTGTTGTTTGCTTCTGCACCGTCATTGTTTTCCGCATCTCCATCGCTAGCCATTGTTCGCTGACCCATTCCTTCTTCGATCACACGAACGTCCATACCAATGAACCAGGCAGAAGTAAAACCTTAGCGCAGAAACTACGTAGCCATCAAAAGCATGGTGCTTTTCAATCAAAGCAACAATCTTATTCCCAATCTGCAAGCAATTCCACCAGCATAACAGTCATACAACCAGAAGCGTGTAAATAACATGAAAATAAGCCCTGAAAACCTTGCATGCGGCATTCAAACTATAACTGTCTGTAACCTAAATGCTTGGAGTCTCCTTTTCAATAACATCTCCACCCATCAATTCATAGAAAATCTAACTACCAAGAGCCTCTGAAACAAAGTCCAACTGTTTCCTACCAGCTCACATTTAACCTAACTACTAAAGCACTGTAATATAACCAAAACAGACTGATTGACACACCCCTACAAGTGAAGCACAAACCAAATTAAACAAACTTCTCACACATTATGACTAACCCAGATTATCAGCCAGTTCAGACAAATTTCACCACAAACATCAATGCGCCAGAGAAGAACCAACCAAAGGTAGGAAATTTAAGCTTCTCAATAGGAATTGGAAGATAGCAACAAAGAGTGAACCAGGAAGGGTATATGCCTAATAATGAATATTCATAAACGGACAAAAGAGACGAAGATGGAACCTCGCATTTGGGAAGGAAGGAACTTGAATGAGAATCGCACGAGACTGAAGAGAGCAGCAGCCCAAGAGAGTGGGGGATTACGTGAAGGGAATCGGGGAAGCCTTTTCAGCCAAATGGGAAGCTTAGTGAGAGAGAAGACTGCCTGAAAGCCAACGAGCGTGATGAAAGTTCGTTCCTTTGATCAATGTTTTAATTTTGATTTTTGGTGGAAGAAAGATAGATTTTGGGGATTTGATTGTTGAAACGAAACTGAAAACCTAAATCCTTCTTTAAATGTTAATAAGAAACTGAAAATTTAAGAAGTGGAAAATGAAAATCTCCTAGAAATTTCAGAACAACCCAGCCTCGCCGCAGGCCGCCGGAGTGAGGCGGCGATGGGCTGACCGCGCGGGCCTGTGGATCGACCCGACTTAGGAAATAAGAACCATAGCCCAATATCCTTTATTTAATTTTCTTTTTACTAATAAGAAAGAGGGCTAATTCCCCATTTGAGCACTAAACTCTTCTATTTTTTTATTTTGACCATGAAAGATACTTTCTTTTTTTGAGAAACAATAAATTTTAGGGGTTTTTAGTGCAATAACCCAAACCTCTAAATGCAACAACCTTTTGCTAGTTGTAATACCATGTTTAGAATACTACAGAAATCGAACTTCTAAAAGACATACATCTTTTGTCGATAAAAGGCGAACCAATTTTGCTAAGTTCACTCGCGATATCCAGTTGTTAATAATTCTCAAGAGTGGCGTATCATCAGAGATCTGCCACCACGATTGTCCTGCCTTCCTTTTATTTGCCGAAACCATTATTTCATATGTTCTGAGTTGGTAACACTCTTTCAAAATAAAAATATAAAATTTAGCTGGTAACAAATTAAAATGATAATTTAAAATAATACTTGACGATACATATATGTCATAACAAATAATCTTTTTTGTTTTATCCTGAAGCTAACACGTCTATGAATTTCCTCCCATTAATGAATTTAATCTCTACTTAAAATTGTATATAAATTACTTAACCATAATTATATCCATTTTCCACCCCAAGTTATCATTTTATGAAAAGGAAAGGTTTCCGGAATCCAATAGGGAAAAGGAAAATAAACCAAGCTTAAAAGATGTACTTAAAAGATGTACATAAAAGAAGAAGACGACGGTGGACGAAGAAGGCCAGCGCCGGCTCCAAGAGATTCAGGAGCTAATAATAAAGCAGAAGATAGCGGCGGCGGTCGTTAGACGGCAGCAGCGAATCGTCCGTAGTCCTCTGTTTACTGAATAAAGAAGACCACAAACATGATCGAGATTAATTCATTGATTCAATGTACGTTATTGCAACAACGATGTAATTTCATCAGTAAATTGTGGTTATCAGTAATGATTGGAATTTTTATATTGGTCAAAAAAATATATGACGATTTTGATAAATTACCCTCCTAATCAATGCCTGTGAAACTGTACGGTATCGGTAGTTCGATTAGAAAAAAAAAATATCATATGTAAGATTCATTTCAAACTCAGCAGACTCGGTCTGTTTAAAAACTGAAAAGCAGTCACTAGGCCGTAGTTTCCTTAATTATTACAGCAGAAAAAACCCAGAACCTCGGACCAGTACTGCAAATTTGTTGTTCACATTCAGAAGCTGGCGACCTCAGTTTGATCAAAGTAGCAGCCAATGCAGTCAAAAGCGCGATTCTACCTAGAAGCGGAAAAGGGGTAAAATCGTAAAACGTAGAATTAAAGCGTAAAAGCGTAAGTTTTTGACGCATACTGAAAAATAACTAAAAATCTATTAAGTAGGACATATGCTATGCAAAATATGAATGCACGAAATTTAGATAAGTTAATAAATACATGTGATTCATGTTTAAAGTAGAGCAACTTATAGCATCTTAATAATAAGTTCGTAAACATAAATTTTAACGATAAGCCACTTTTCCCTCTATGCTAATGAATTTGGGAAAACCCTAGTTGGTGAATTAGATTACTCTATTGAAGTAGAATGCATCCAAGTACCTAGTATGTATCTTTTAATCTCAAATGTATCATATTGTTAGTGATTTACTTTAAAAATATACTTTTTATAATTAATTTCATGAAAAGAATACTCATGTAGCGAACTAAAAGCGTAAAAACGTAAAGCGTTTTGGTGAACTAGAACCGTAAAACCGTAAGTTTTTAAGTTTTAAAGCGCAATTTAGTCCGATTTTATACACTTAAGTTTTTATATGGAAACGAAAGCGTTTTGGTGACCCAAAAGCGTAAAATCGTAAGTTTTTAAGTTTTAAAGCGCGATTTTGACTACATTGGTAGCAGCCAGTAGGACCATCGTTCGGCAAGAGAGCACACTTCACAGAACCTCTGGCACCTTCTTCCACCGGCATTGGACCAGTGTGCCAGTTCAAATCCGTGTTCACGTAACCCGGATGAACGCAGTTGATCTTCATATTCGGGTGCCTTCTCGCCAGCATCCTCGTGTAAGCATTGAGGGTCACCTTCGAGACGCTGTAAGCAGGAAGCATCAGTGACCAGCCTCCAGCTTCGAGTTTGTTCTCTTTGAAATCGCGCAGGAACCTCTTCAGTATCTCGTCCAGCTTCTCTTCGCTCAGTGATTCCACCTCTGCAAATTCCTTCCTCAGATCATCGCTGCGAATCCTCTGCAACGAAGAGAGGAGCACAAACCTACAGCTTCAGTAACTCATATGCTACATATGTTAACAAGTCATGTAAAAATCCGTTAAGTCAACTGTTCTGTGCAGGGATTGAAGAGGTGGAACATGAGAGACTTGCTCAGTTGGTGGGGTTCCAGAAAGCTGTGCTACCTGTTCGTTACCTAGGGGTGCCTCTAATAGCAGGGAAGTTAACTACAACTGATTGTCGAGCTTTAGTAGAGAAGATCACTAGAAGAATAGCAGGCTGGAAGCCTAGACTGCTAAGCTATGCTGGTAAGCTCCAACTCATTAACTCTGTGCTGAGCAGTCTTTCATTTTATTGGATGAATGTGTTCATATTACCCCTTTCCATAATAAAAGAGATAGAGCAGTTATGTAGTAATTTCCTATGGGGGATAACTGAAGATTCCATGAGGAAGAAAGCTGTAATGGCTTGGGGGCTACTGGCAATTCCAAAAAAAGAAGGGGGATTAGGTATTAGGTGTCTAAAAACATGGAACGTGGCCTGTACAACAAGGCATATCTGGGCTCTACTTGCAAAAGAAGGGTCCTGGTGGGTTGCCTGGAACTACCTATATCGAATTAAAAATCTTACTTTCTGGGAATTGGGAAAGTGTAGTACTGCCTCCTGGATTTGGAAGAGACTATTAAAGGTCAGAGATAAGGTAGAGGGATACTTCCGTTGCTGGGGAACTCAGGTGTACTGGAATGACAAGAGGATGTTGCTTTATTCAGTGAAACAGGTTTGGGCAGATTTGCAACCGGTTAGGCCTCAGGTGGCTTGGTATCAGCTGGTGTGGGGGAAGTACTCGATTCCAAAACATAGCTTTCTCAGCTGGATTATAACAAGAAATAGGATTACAACTTTGATGCAATTGCAGAGCTGGGGGAAGATAGCAAGTGCCAATTGCTTGCTCTGTTTGGCTCATACAGAGGACAGGGATCACTTATATTTCCAATGTCCATATACCTCACAGGTGCTAAAGGGATGTCTGCAGATGTTGAATTTGAGGTGTCCTCAGTTAACTGGCTATGAAAATTACTTGGCTTGGGCAATCAAGCAATTCAAAGGGAAGAAGGCAATGGCCATGATAGGCCGTCTGGTTTGGAACTTAGTGGTGAGCTTGATTTGGAGGGAACGTTGTGGAAGATTGTATGGAAGTGCAGCTGTGCAACCAGGGGAGCTGATCAGGGTAGTGCGCAGGACAGTTGAGCTGGCTAGGCATGGAAATGCAGCTTTGGATGCTGATTGTAGATTGATTTTTAGTCAATAATAGCAGTGGTTAGGGTAGTGTCTGGTTTTGGTTTTAGCTTGTGTATATGCAGTAGCATGTAAGTAGAAGGTCCAGTGTTGATGTAAAGATCCAGATGTGTTTCTTCCTCAGTTTAAAGAGGAGGCACATAGAGCTTAATAAAATTTTTTGATATTGCCCATCAAAAAAAAAAAAAAAAATCCGTTAATTCGACTCTTGAATCTCGTTATCTGTTCTTGATTTTTTTGATAATGCAGCTGTCAATTGGGATTTAATCACATCGAGACAGTCCCATTGATGTGTGAAAGATGGGTTTACATCAATCATAGAGGGCATGAATCATCAAGAACGCGGTTATTAAGCATTTTGCTCGACCTAACCAGTCATGGATTCAGACGAACTTGCCAAAAACAAGAACTAGCATAGTAAAGATATCATTAACTCAAATGAAAATCCATCTATTTTCATAAACTCACACATAGCTCGCCCCTGAGAGATGTGACATTCACAATCCTGGCACCGGAATCGGAGAGCTGGAGCAGTGGGAGGAGGGACTCTGTCAAGTTCTTGACAGCATAGTAGTTAGTGTTCAAGCATTCCTCTGCTTTCTCATATGTGTGCTTCATCACATCCTGGACCAAGTTTACAGCTTTGCCTGAAAGCTGCAATTACCCCTGAAATAAGTTGGTGATCATGAACTTGTTCCAAGATGGAAATTGGCTTCTCAGAAGCAAGCTTGGCCATTATGCTTGCTATTATATCTTTAGACTAACAGTTGTAGGCTATTTTGCCATCCCTAGTGGGCTAAAAGCTTCAATTTTTAACTTACCCAAGTGTCAACTTCAATGTTCATGTCCCTCAATCGCTGCTCATCAACTTCAACACCTGAAGCTGCAGCATTATTTACCTGCAGAAATCAAACCATATACCCCAATCAATTCATCCATTTTCCCACTTCTCCATTGAAATAGAGTGAGATAAGGTAGTAGAACACCCAGAATGAGATCTGCACACTAAAAACCCTCCCTTCCGTACCAAAATATCGAGCTTGCCGAACTTCCCCTTCAAGAATTCAGCCAAGTTCTGGATGCTGGCCGGATCTAAAACATCAAGCTGATGGAAGATCACATTGGGGAAACCCATCTGGTGGAGCTTCGAAGCTGCATCGCTCCCTCGCTTAGCATCTCTAGCCGTAAGCACCACCGTGACTCCATGGCTAGCTAGCTGCCTCACGGTTTCTAAACCAATCCCCTTGTTAGCTCCTGTAACCACTGCAACCCTGCAAGGAAGAACATTAGAAAAAAACAGCCGGTAAAAATCGATTCTTTTATCTCTTTATCTCAATAGCTGAAAAGCAGGAGCTCAATAGTTTGCCACTCTGGGAAAAGGAATGAAGGGAAAGCTTGCAAATTTCGATTACCGCTGTGGACGATTCGTATTGGGTTCCATTTTTTGTTTCTTTCTCAGCTGAAGCTTTTGTTGGATTGCAGACTTCGTAGAAGATGCAGCTAGCTCAGTGGACTTTGGGAGTGTTTATAGAAAGACCGAATGCTCACTGGCCCGCCAGGTTCTTGTTCCCTTTTGTCTTCTTCCCCGGTTTTTTTCTTTCCCCCAATTGATGTCGGCCATTTGAGGCCAGGGAGAATCGAATCTTCAAATAATCTGATAAACAGGAAAAAATTAAAAGAAGCAGCAGATTATCTGAATAGATTATTAGAGCTGCCCACCAACTAAATCGCAATAAATACAGTCGAGGCTATGTATAAATTATTGAAAGCTTGAAAGACAATAGTTAATATTAGGGTTGTGGAGATTCGAACACATGACCTTTCGGTTCTAAGTTCTGATACCATGCCATGAACCAGTTGATCCTAATAACTCGAGTTGTTGGGACTTGGGAGAAGGTTATGCTGGATCTTATACCACTCTCTAACAATTACCGCCGCAAACTTCTACACTCACGATTCATAAACAACCGGAAAAAGAACCCGAAAAGGAAATAGTTTGCGTGAATGGGAGGTCACATGTGTAAAATGAAGCAAAGACGGGAACTTGCCAAATAAGGGAAACTAGTTGCTCTTTGATAATTATTCAGTTTGCTGCTATATTTCTGGGTTTGGTGATGAACAGAGGACAAACAGGGGAAGTTGAAAGCTTCTTTCCTCTATTTCGATCGAGATAGGTAACCAAGCAAAGTAATTTGGGCCCATTCTCGTAAGAGCCCACCATGAAGGACCTTTGTTGGGCTTTCATTATTTTTATTTCACTCTCAAACTTTCGAGCCCATCGCTTAATCAAAACTCATGCATCAGCTTTGGTCCGGTTGGCCTAGGTCCATTTGTTGTTTATTAAGACGAGCGACTTACAAGTTACAAGCATACGCAATTCGCCAGCCGGACCAGCTCGACGAGGAAGAAGCTCCGACAAGCGACGAGACGTTGTTGTTGTTTTCCTTTTTTTTAAACAATGGTCAAATGGATTTATTTTTATATTTAGGTGCATCTTCAAATTTGAGATTTTCCTGTTCAAAACTTATGATCTTATTATTGGACTAAGTTCTTGTTTGCTATAAGCGACAGCGTTTCATTCTGATATTTCATATATTTTTTTTTAGTTCGACTTTGTAATAATCTATGCATAATGCATGGTTGGAAACTGATTGAACCTACATTTTGGCTTCTCACGGCCACATGGTCGCCTTCTCGAATATAAAATTGGTTGACAATTGTATTGATCGTGGATGCTCTCAGCAACTCTAACGACTATCCCAGTAAAAGATTATATGGATTTGATCAATTTCTGACATACAAAGATACAAATTAAACATGTCAAACGGTCTTTATTCTGGTACGAAGTTTAACATTCAGAAATTCTGAATGTCAAACTTCGTACAACACAATAAAAAATACAACTTTACATATATAGTAATTAAAGGGTACGTGCCAGGCTTTGATTGCATACTTAAGGGTTAGGGTTAACAACAGAATTCGCAATTGGTCGGGTCGTTGACGTTGCCATTATGACCACAGCAAATTGTGGGACGCGAGCAGCGGCGGAGAAACCGCCTCTGATCAAACCCTTGCTCTGCAAAAACATCCCAAAACGAAGGAGGTAATTGTTGGTTTAGTTATGCTGAGTTGAGTTGGGAAATCAAAACGAGTGGGAAAATTACTGTTGGTGTATTATATTACCGAAACCGCATAGGATTTATACAGAATACAATGACCGCGACTTCTAAAACAATCCTAACACTAATATGGGAATTACATAAATTTTTTCGATTATGATAAAGAATACAGCATTGTCCATATACATAATAGTACTCGTAGTATAACGCAATAGTACTATTTAGTTACTTGATGTACTAGTCGATCGATTTCGTCGTGGCTACGAGAGCAAGATACATACCTGTGGCGATCACCATCCTTGCAGCCATGGCGCAAGAGAAGAGCAGAGCCACCAGGAGAACCGCGAAGACAAGCTTATGAGCCATATTTGATTTCATATTTTGTTGTGTGTATATAATATATTTAGTGCACGAGTGACGAATCGGTATGAACCGAGATGATGGTTTACTGAATTATATATAGTGGGTGATCATGATCAGGTGTGAGAGGGGAGGGGAGAGATGAAGCTTTGCTTGCCCGGCGGCGAGTACTGAATTGATGGACAAAGCCCGGCCCAATGGAAACAATAAAGAGACGTATAATATGATTGCCGGCCGGCCGGCCGGCGGCATCTTTTGGACGAGGATGCTAGCAGTTACATTTAAAGAGGAGCTGTTTGTTAGTTATTTTGTTAGTTTCTGTACGTCCGGATATGTGGTGTACGCATGCATGCTTGTAACGTACGTGCATGGCTGGGACTGAATCCGCATTTTGGCTTCGGCTGCCGTCTAGAGATTCCATTCCGGCCGCATATTGACCGCGAGAGCTTAATGGCAATGAGTGGATATAAGCCAGACCCAAATGGACCATTTAGATTTAGGTTAGGTTTAATTTGAGTCAATTCATTTCTATACTGACTACAAACAAGTTTATTTGGATCCAAATGATCGTAACACAGAAAAATGTGATTTTATTGACCATCTTATTGATTGTCTTAATAAACTCAATTCATACATTAAATGTTTTACATTTACAATTGTTTCGAAACAAAGAAAAATGAAAAAACCGCATTGAATTTGAACAATGTAATTAGCGACTCATAATTTATCTTTCTTTTTGCTATCTGTCAAGAACCAGTTGATATCGCTCACTTCAAAGATCCAATCGTGCAACTCACATGTAGAGCTTAAGCACTCGAAGCATCATATTATTAGGGCCGATCTTGGGCCGGGTTTTGGGCCGCATATTCGCAGTTGTCTGAGCACAATTCGCAGCCCGTACCCCAGCCCCAATCAAGCACACAGCAGCTCTGGTTGGGCGGGCAGCCATGATCTCCCTGTGGGCTGTGGCTGCACCAGTTTCTTCCCTTGCTCTTCCAAATTTTTATATAAGTGATGACCCAATGCAAATTACACAACAAAGTAACAGTTAGAGCTTAATTAAATAATTTTATTCATAAAATTTTACCAAAATATAATATAGGCAAGATAATCTAATGGTTCGGTCGTAAACTATAGTAATATCATGTAAGAATCGTATCAGAATCACAACTCATTCGTATAGCAGTTTAGCCAGGCATGATCAGTATATGTTGTTGAACAAAGGTATAATCGACATAGTAAGGTCATCACAACACGATACCATCTAACGGGTCGTTTGGATGGATCAATTGTAAAACGAGACAATTTGACCAATTGTTTCAATTTACAAAATTAGTCATTTAAAACGAGCCAATCCAAAATTTTACAACCCAAATTGCTCCATCCAAATTGTCTGCTACCAAACGGATCAATCTGGCCCAATTGTCTCATTGTAATTGGGTCAGATTGATCCATTATAATTTCTCGTCCAAACGACTCCTAAATTCTATTTGGGGTTTAAGGGTTTTGTATTTTGTGGCAAAAGGTGTTGCCCAATTTCAAATAAAATAACAGTATGCGGAGACTAATATGCTTTTTGTGCAGTGAAATAACGATAATTTGTTCAATTTATCAATCCGATCCGATCCATGAATAGATTGTAATCAACTAGAAATATCGAGTTTCTAGTTGGGGGCACCGTACCAATTGAATTTGGGCAGCACCATACCAATTGTTGGGGATTTTTTTTGTCATCTCTATTCAAGAGATCATAATACAAAGAAACAAAGAAAAATCGAGCACCACATATTCAAACCCGCTTTAGCAACATAATTGTATGATGTCACATCAAAGATCAAAGCGTAGCAAGGTTTTGGTAGCCTTAGTAAAATTAAAATTCCCCATTATTTCTTCTGAAAAAAAAAAGGAAATGGAGGCCCACAAGCACTCGAAGTATCATATTATTAGGGCCGTTCGTGGGCCGGATCTTGGGCCGCAAAAGAGCACATTTCTGAGCACAACTGGCAGCCCGTGCCCCAGCCCCAAGCAAGCTCACAGCAGCTCTGCAAAGGCGGGCAGCCAGGATCTCCCTGTGGCTGCACCAGTTTCTTCCCTTGCTCTTCCAAATTTTAAACAAGTGATAGACCCAAATGCAAATTACACAAGAAAGTAACATTTAGAGCTGAGTTAAAAAAAAAATTTCCATAAAACTTACACACCAATATAAAATAGGTGAGATCGATGATCCAATAGTTTTCATAGTAAACTAGAGAAATACCAGTGTAAGAATCGTCGTCATACCAAAATCACAATATCAGTCGTATAGTAGTTCAGCCGGAATGGACCGATACGTGTTGTTTAACATGTGCAACAACTGACTTGTAGGGCATCACAACACACGATACACTATCCAAGTTTTATTTGGAGTTTTCGAGGGTTGGTCTGTTTATGGCGAAACGTATTATCGAATTTCAAAAACACCACCACAAACCCGATCGATCGGTTGATTAACCTAGCAACCACCATGCATCCACAAATGATGAGGGACCTATAAGGAACACAAAAAAAAATTGTACATACCTTTGGCCATCCTTGCTGCCATGGCACCAGAGCTGCAGAGAATTATAGCCACTACCAGAACGACCAAAGCAAGCTTATGAGCTAAACTTGACTTCATTTTTTTGCAGGCAACTTACAGAATCTCTAAGTCTTTTGCTTTCTTTGTTTGATTTTTCATTTTCTGATTCTGCTATATATATATATATATCAACAAAAATATTCGACGTGCGAGTAGTACTACTGGCTAGACTACAACGGGCTGAATGTTAGAGTGGTAGTGTTTTGCTTCTTTAAGGAACGGAACGCCTTAGGTTTTCACAAGTCAACATAATCCGCCGTTTGATTCCTTTATACATATAATAGTTTCATAATTCAATTGCACAAGTGATGGCCACTGAACTTTGGGCTGTATAACAAACGGTCCCTGAAACTTTTAACTTCTAACAAACAAATGCACCGATCGATCAAATCTTGAATGATATATAAAGTTCGTGTATTTGATCCATTTTCATTCGAGTTTTCTCATCGATCGTGCAAGAAGAAAGCTTACTCAAAGTAATCGTACAAAATCCACACAGGTAACTCGGACCAGGAGGCATGTCCATGCTAGAGAGGTCGTCTTAATTTTCTTCGTACGTAGGTACGTAGATAAAAAATCGAATGAACCTATTCATATGTAGATGAAATGCGGACGATTATGTTAGGTAGTTGATACGAGACTATTAACTATATATTAATTCGTTGAAAAATCAAAAGTTTAGAGACCCTTTTGCTAACAAAACCTAAAGTTTGAAGGTCCATTTAGAAGTAACTAATTAATCACAAACCCAATTACGTGCCGGTCCTAATTAAGCAGATGGATGAAGGAAGTTCCCTAACGAAACATAACTCCTGTGGTCTTGCCGGCGATATATTCCTGTTTGGTTTTTCTCGTTCTCTACGTCGGCCGGCGGTTAGGCATTTTTGTTAGCTTTCTTGTATATGGAAAAGCAAGTTGCCTGGGAATCGAGAAGACATGTTTTGGGCTTTTGGCCGTGATGAACTAAAGATAGACACATATTAAATGTGGTAACATGCGTACGGTAGAAAAGCATCAAAATTTCCACGTTGAACTCTGGCGAATTTACCGGTTCACAGACCACTGTAATGTCGGAGAAGTTGCTCTCGAGGATTTTAAAACTGAGACACACCGGTCAAGTTTATTTTTGTTTAAATCAACTATTAATATTGTTGATTATAGAAATTGGAATAAGATCGAAATATGTCGAATTGCATGTCAATTATCAATATTCATTCTATTGTGCAACCGGCCTGATTATCGTGAATCGCTTGCAGACTAAATGATGACCGAGGACATACCAAAAACAATTTTCATTTTTATAATGAAGAAATTAAACACCTCATATTATCTTATTCCAGGTGTGAAAATCCAAGATTACACTTGAAAGAGAACGGATAACACTGAGACAAAGAAATAGAACAAAATAGAAATTAAACATTGTACAAGTCCAAAGAGCAATACTCTCTCAACGAACTCAACTCATAATGGTTTATGAAAGGTCGCTTCAAAGGCAGGTGAAGTAACATTGTAATATACATCTATCTATCACATTTGTAAGATTCGTATAAAGAGTGGTATGATTCTTACCGGAGATGATAAGAATCTAGGACCATCAAAACTCTTCAATTGAAGCAATTAATTTTCCAATTAACAAAGAAATGCAACAATATTGGTGTGAGCATTTGTAATTCACCGATTTTAAAATTCGGTACGCTCGAAATCTCTATCTCTGAGAGTCGTTTTCCAAACGAGACATTTCATTGCAAGCCAACTTAAAGAAGGATTTGGACAAAATCTCACATCTAAATCACTCATCCAAACGAACCCCTAGTTCTCAAGTGGCCTCGAGGGCCGGTTTGGCCCATTTTGATGAGACTAGGAGCTATGCTATGTTGTTTGTTAGTTTTACAATGGAATTTTTTTTTTTTTTTTTTGCATTTTAACGTTTTTTTCAATGTCATTTTTAGCTATGTTGAAAATTCAAACAGATTTTGCTGAAATAATTGAAGATATCTTCCTGTTTCTGGTTTTGGCAAGCGTCGTCGTTCATATGACCTTTGAAGTTAGCACTTCTCGTGGAAGTTTTGTATCCTTTTTCAACGGTGTTCATCGACAACATTCATGGGGAAGGATGAAGAAATTCGTTAAAAGAAATTAACAACTCCATAACATGATATTAATTAATACATCTTATTAATTAACCATCACACGATCGAGGATCCAAAATTGCACGTCGGCCGGTTGCATGGGTTAATAAGCCGGCGGTGGACAGGATTTGAGGCATATGTTGCAACCGGAGTTCCAACCCCAGTCAAGCGCACAGCAGACTTCATCGCTCGCGCAATCACGTCCCTGTGGCTGCACTGTCTTCCCTAGCTCTGCCATACAAGTATAAGAAACGATCATATGACACGATGCACGCACGTATAAAAGAGTGGTATAAGATTCGCTAGACGAATTACTATCGGTGACTATATTTCAATTCTTTCAAACCATTAAGATCCACCCAGGAACCTTATATCATATAAAATTCATAATTAACTTACTCTCAAATTATTGGAA